CTAAAGCAAACCTCAATATTAGTGTTGTTTTTTTAACAAGCAAGCATATAATCTGAGCATGTTTTGGTTGTAGGTAAACAAATTTTTCTTAAAAATGTCTTCCAAAATCAAAATATATTTTGAGTACCGTGCTTGTCGGATTAACCATAGCATACTTGGACAGTATTTGTCTGTAGATATAGTGTTCAAAAGTAAAAAGAAATTTTCACTGATTATACAGAGTTAAGTTTTTGTGGCATTCCTTGGGGGAGGCCTATGTTCAGCAGTGGGCTTGTGAAGGGCTGTAATGATGATGACGATGATGATCATTTGTTTTTTTTAAATATTAGTAATCTTATTAATTAACATTACTAATATTTCTTTTAAGCACTCCTGGTAAGCTTGAAATGCTTGTGTTAGGAGTGGTTCACGACAGTAGTTAAATGGCGGATTCGAACCCACGACCTTTTGAGTTCGTGATCCGCGCCCTGTCATGATGACACTGAGTTAGATATTTTCTAAAATAGAATTTGAATTGTAAAAAAATCATCCCTGCATCCCTCATTTGGCAGGCGTTTATAAGTTTTAGCTAAAACTAGCGATCCGTTTGTTTACTTTGTTTATCAGAGGTAATTTAATTTTGTGTCTTTTGTTTAAAATAAAATACTGAGGTATTATAAGAACCTCACATAGCTGAACGCAACAAAAACAAATATAATAGAAAAAATATGAAGTGTTTCGGGAACCAAAAGGAACGCCTTTGTTTAAAAATTTAGATAATACCATTGAACCGTGATAAGTACATCAAGCATTTACCCAACTGTTTCTTTACATAGAAACTCGAAGTAGTGTCTCGGCTCAGACCGTCAAAATAAAAGATATGACGTATCCTAAATAAGACAAAACCCATAAGTATATATTTCAATTGACACCAAAATCACGCTCAACTAGTAAGAGAACACGCACACATATTCATCGAAAGTTACTATCGTTATCGTTATAGTCACAGCCTATTAAAGTCCACGACTGCTAATCATGAGGTCCTGAGTTCGAATCACGGGTCTCACCCCCGTGCCTCGAAAAGCACGTAAAGCCGTTGGTCCTACGCCTGATCTCTCTCCGGTCGTGTCCGTTTATCGTCCCATCGGATTCTGAGGGTGAGGGGATAGAGTGTGCACTTGTACTTGCGCATACACTTGGGCACTATGATCCTGTCCTGCGCCGATGGCTAGTCTCCGTTGAGGCTAGCCGCCGTGACCGAAAATTTTAAAGTCCACGACTAATAGATTGTCTCATAGGGAGGATATTTGCCATAGTTGCCACGCTTGGCCAGCGGGTGGCAACCACAGTTTATTTTTATTTTTAATCGTTATTAAGAAGACGCTGCTGTCCATCTCCCGATTTCTTTCCCTCTGTCGCCTCTTACGACACCCACGGGATGGTATGGGGTAGTGGATATTCTGACACCGCCACTACCGTACCGACTGTGAGTGCTCTTACAATTTGTTAATCATGATTCGAGTGTCACAATACAATTATGGTTATATCATTTACAGCTGATCTGCTCTTTATTCTCTTTCGGAGTCGGCTATCTTCCCCTATGGTAAGACTAAGGCACTGCATCAAAACACGAGGACCAGCTCATTAATCAATAAATCTAAAGAACCATATTTTGTATGTTGAAAATTGTGTTCATATTTTAAGCCTTTGGCTGCTGTGTCAATCACTTTGTGCGAAGGATTGCATTTAAAACGCGACCGACGGCAGTTCAAGTGTTAACCGACTTTAAAAAACTGGAAGGGGAATCAATTCAGTGTATTTTAAGTTCTTAACACATCACTTTTACATCTTTCGGTTTGGTTAACAGATTCCACGGTTCTTACAGATGAAGTACAATTTAAAAATAAAATTTTAAATGTTGTTTACCAAAGCCGGGCCTGCTGCGACCATATTTTAAACATACAGAGACTGGATAAAGTAAGTGTATCTCGACGTACCTACGACCTATTATTGCTTTTAAACGAGGTAATGCAAATCTGCAAGTTAGCTACTCTAAGCTAATTGTAGTAAATCTTAAATATTTAATGCACTTTATTTCTCTGTTTAGAATCAATGGACAGTATTTCTTAATTAATATTATAAGATTTGAATTGCTCACAAGAAATCCACAGTATTAGAACATAGTTACCCGAATAAAATCCAACCCATATTCAGGTCGAGAATAAGTTAAGTATCTCCTGTAGTCAAAATTCCATCAAATGTACGGAAACAATGCTAAGTATTTGTATGTATAACTTTTTGTAATATTTCTAAAGGATCTTAGCTTTTCTTAGCAGCCATAAACGTGATCAAAATGACATTTATTTGGTTAAATTGTTTTTTATGGAAAAATATTGTGCTTTAATAAATCTCTATAAAAAAAATTGTGTGTAATCTACAAAATGATTTTAAGAATAGCGGCTGAAATAATTTAGCTTAGGCATTTTATTTTTGAGTGATTATGAAGTTAATATAATAGATGAGATTATATAGTTATAATCCATATATTTGAGTGATAGCTATTACAAGCTATGATGACATATATTGACGTCACATTTTTGTGAAGACGATATGGTAGTAATAACGGTTGTAGACATCGGGACAAACAACTCAATTAGACGGCGTAGCTGCATGTAGGGTTGCCAACTTTTTTTTTATAACAAATATAGTATTTTAAAGCTAAAATATAACAGATGGAGCAAAAATAGTAAGATAAAGTATGTTTCAATAGGTTTCACTGCTTTACTTTTAAAGGAATACTTTTTGCTGCTTTGTGCCTTTATTAACAGCGTCAACTAAAGTCAGCCTTTTTAGAATTACAGTATTCAAGCATCTAATATAGTAGGATAGTATAATATACCTACATTAGGGTTGGCAGACTATTAGAATTTTTTCTTTGTCGTTGTTTTAGAATATTATCCAATCGTATATGCTATACGCCATATAATACCGTATCTGAGGCGACCTGCCTGACGTCTTCCGATGGAAAAACCCAGATATTGCTGGATAAGGTCCAAAAATACCGATAAGCGATTTTTTGATACTGATCTCATAATCTGAGCCGAAGCCAGCGTGAGAACTGTTAAGAACCCTTTGCTTTACCGGTACAATAGTGAAATAAATTCCAGCTTGTCGAATTTACGTCATGGTGATCACAAAATGTTAAAAACTTAAATAGGTATATAATAATTTTTTAGCAAAATGTTAAAAAACTAATTGTTTTATAGCTGACAAAAAAATGAGGTCCTCAATTCGATTATATATTCTTTTATAATATCTTCACCAATTTTGGACCGAATTTAATGATTCCTTTTTATTAAATAGGTTTTACTTTAGGGTTTACCCAACATAAATATAAAGAAAAAAATTTTACCCACAAGGGGGGAAAAATAAGGGATAAAGTTTTGAGTGTAACTATTTAGACGACATTAGAGCTTGTAATAAACGAAGTCCACTATATAGAGACAATATTTAGACTTTAATACAAAATAAAAGCTGGCTTTAAAGAACCAAAAAGAATAAAATTGTTTTCAACCTAATAGTTTCTGAATTCACGGCCTTAATACTTCATCTTAGCACCGACAGAGCGGTCTAATTGTAAGGTGCGAAAATGGTAGGTACAAAACCGTCTTTTCGACTATTATCGACTGCTATCTGACCCATTTTAAACATGTATAGACCGATTGATTGGAATATTAGTAATGTTAATAGAACTGCTAGTATCATTCCACTATATTTGTCTTCGAAAAAAAGAGAAAATTTTAAGAAAGGAAAACTTAACCATATTCTCGAAGATTATTATTAGAAATTGATATTTTTGTATTTTCTGACAGTCTTTTTTGATGTTATTCATTGAAATGGTAATTAGTTATAATTTACGTTAATTGGTAAAAGTATGATGATGTCATACTTATTAGGATATTTGTGTTTCTGTATTATAATTATAATCCTAAGATTATGAATTAACGTTGTGTATAAATATGATAACATTAAATACATAACATAACATAAACACTCACGCTTGTCACCCATAGGAGTAGGCAGAGACTACGGACTTCTTGGACGATCTTACCTCTTTCGCCTCTTTACATCCATATATCTACGCATACATGCTCGTCGGTTAAGGGTACTTCTAACGTGGCCCATTTTCAAAATATCGCCAATTGGGTCGATAAACTTTCGCCTTGGGCGTCACTTCGCGACTCTGCCGTTCACATCTGCCATATAAATTTGCTTTGTCACTCTTTCCACATTCATCCTTTCTACATGACCAAACCACCGAAGCATTCCTTTCTTAATCCTGGTCACAACATCATCTTGCATACATTTTTCTCAAATATAAAAATTAAATACATAATTATAAAACATATCAGGGAAGATGTCTAAACGTCTTCTCGAAGAGAACTTAAATTCTAAAGTTAGTCAATATTCATCGAGGAATAAATAGATATTAATATAACTGTCTCTTTAAAAGTATGTACCTTATGTGTAGTTATCTAGTTTTCAGAAAACAACAAATATTTATATATTAAGTGTGTAAGTTTTGCAAAATATTTTGATAAATGAAGTGTACAATATTCTACATGACTTACATATTTTATACAATTATTTATGTTTTTCCAAATAAGTGGAATATAAATTTAGACATTCATTTTACAAAACTTGCACAACTAATGCAAATCACAAGCTTATTGTTTACTGAAAACTGAGACATTCCGTATTATTTTAAAACGACAGTAACGATAATAAAAACAGATTTAAATAAATGTGAGCGAGGCCACACTCGGTTGTAGATTGTCGTTAATAAATTACAATGTGAACCCTAGTACGCACGCAGTGGACAGTGGAAGCGTTTAAAGCTAAATGTATGTACAAGTGGCGCCGTCGGTCCGCAGCATGTCTGCAACGAGTCCGCAGTGAGTCCGCAGCGGGTCCGCAGCGAGTCCGCAGCGCGCCGCAGCCGGCTAGCGGCCGGCGCGACGTCAACGCCTCCACGAGCGGTCCTCCTCGGCGTCCTCCTCCTCCTCCTCGTCGAACCGGAGCAGCGCGTCCTCCGACACCTCCTGATGCTTCTGCAATTTTGTTACACCGTCTGATACCGCCGTCTCGTATAGAGCTTTGGATCTTAACTTAGCGCTAACACAAAATGGACAGAACATGGAACATGCACTTTAGACAAGTGACAGTAAAAATAGCGGTAATATCTCGTGGCCTCCATATATTTCAGACATAAAACGAATGCGAGTGCGAAACGTCTAGCGCTAACCTGCTAGCCAAGTTTGTCGATTATGATAACTCCTTACAATGGAACTGTCATGTTGCACCTGTATACTGCAACATGTTAAATGTAGATCTAAGAACATGGCAGCCTCGTACCGTCAAGGTATATTAATATTAATTTACATAGTATATTTATTAACGTGTAAGTAACAATACTTATTATGTATTTAACTCTATTTTACTAAGTGGATTCCTTTTCTATCTAGTTGCCACCCTCTTACTCACACGTTCCGGTGGTAAGGGTATACAGAGCTAGTATAATTACAAACTTTCTTCGTCGAAGTCGGCTGCAGGTGTCATTTTTTTTTTTTTATAAGATAGGGTGGCAAACGAGCACACAGTCCACCTGATGGTAAGTGGTTGCTGCGGCCCGTAGACATCTACATCTATCTTCCATTACAAATCAAAATGCAGATGCGTAGTCACCCGTGAGGACTGAGATGGAATGCCTCATTTCCAGTAAAAAGGGTCTCCGGTTCTCTACACTCACCATACGAAATACAGCAGCATTAAGCTACTATTTCACGCTGGTATTCTGTGAGAGCGTGGTCCTTCCCCGGTCGAGTCGACCCATTCGTGCTACAACTATACTACTAATATAATTGCAGCATGGCTCTACCACGTATAAAATACCATTGGATAGCAGTAGCACATTTGTTATATAAAAGTAGATACAACGGCACTGAAGGGACCATTGGACTAAGGACGTGACGCGAAGGTGCGGACCGCGAACTCAAGTCAAGTACGAAACAGCTTTTCGACTACTATCTGAACCACTCCTAACACAAGCATTTTAAGCTCACCTGGACAGGTTGATGGGAGAATTAGTGATGTTAATATATTATGACACTTCAGATGTATGACAATAGTGTAGTAATCTTTCACATGTGAAGTGTATTTAGTATTTAGGCATAACTTTCGTTGATATTTTTCTTATATGTTTTTAAATTAAATAATTTATCAGTAAGACAATATGGACAAAGCATGCAGAGAGTTGGTTAATTTTTGAGAATAATGCAGGAAGCATTTAACCATTCTTGTTGGCAATCAGTGGAGGAAGTCTATGTTGCAGAAGCGGCCTTTTAATGTGCTGTCAATTATGATGTTCTAAGAACAATACTCACACAAACATAATATATACACACTCAAATTTTAATCTTTGTAAACAAACTACAATGCAGTGATGAAAACATTTGTTGTATTATTTAACTATGCTGTTTTAATTATTAAGCTTGCTGTGTTAACAGACAGACTGACCTCGTTATCCTTTGGTTCATCCTGGGCAGTATCGCCATTTTGTACTTGTGTTGGTTGGGTAGCAGCTATTGGCTTGTTGTTTGTCACCCATGTTATCTGGAAAACAAACTTGAGTGAGTATATTACAATATTGCTTTGCAAGAAAAGAAGAGGAAAGAGGTAGCGAGATAAGTATAGATGAAATAATGAAAGCAATGAAAAGCATGAAAGCAGGTAAGGCTGCCGGATATGATAGAGTTTCACTCGAAATGCTAAGGGCTGGAGAGGAAGTGGTGGCAGGCCTGCTGCACACCTTGTTTAATTTATGCTGGGAACTGAAGTGGGTACCGGTAGACTGGTGCAAAGCCGTGATAGTCCCAGTATATAAAGGAAGAGGGTCGCAGCAGGACTGTAAAAACTACCGTGGCATTAGCCTTCTTAGCATTGTGGGAAAACTGTATGCTAAGGTACTGATTGAAAGGGTCATGAAAGAAACTGATGGAAAAATTTGGGATGTGCAAGCGGGATTTAGAAAGGGAATGGGATGTACAGATCAAGTCTTTTCCATGCGCATGATCGCGGAGAAGTTTCTGGCCAAAAACCAAAAGGTTTTTTGTGCGTTCATGGACTTTGAAAAGGCCTATGACAGAGTGGATAGGGATTTGCTATGGCAAACACTGAACTCATTTTGGTTGAGCGCTGGCTTGATACAGGCATTGGAGTCCCTTTATAGGGACTCTAGTGCTTGTGTTAGGATCAACGGGGTCTACTGGACTGGTTTAACATCCATAACGGTGTCAGACAGGGCTGTGTGGCTTCCCCGTGGCTGTTCAACCTATTTATGGACAGTTGTTTGCAAAATTTTAAAGTTGAAGAATGCGGATTAAGAATGGGTGAGTTAACCATCAAATGCCTTTTGTACGCCGATGATCAAGTTATTCTTGCGTCGTCGGCGGCCGAGTTGCAAATGATGGTTACATTAATGAACGGATCATTAAAAGAAAGGGGTATGAAAGTGAACGCAAGTTAGACGAAGGTTATGGTTTTTGAAAGAGAAGAAAGTAAAACGATTTGTGAAATAAGAATAGAAGGGGAGTTGATCGAGCAAGTAGATGAGTTTGTATATTTGGGCTGCGTATTTAGTAGGGATGGGAGATATGATAAGGATATAGAACGACGAGTGTATGCGGGAAATAGAGTAAATGGGGCCTTGCACTCTATTGTGAAGAGTCAAAATGTGTCGAAAAAGGCACGTATGGCAATTCACAACGCTGTGTTGGTCCCTACTTTAACGTATGGTAGTGAAAGCTGGGTGTGGAAGAAGAAGCACGAGAGTAGAATAAATGCAGTAGAAATGCGGTCGCTAAGGAGTATGTTAGGGCTGAATCTGAATGACATTGTAAGAAATTGTGTAATAAGAGAAGAGTGTGGTTTGTAAGATGATGTTGTGACCAGGATTAAGAAAGGAATGCTTCGGTGGTTTGGTCATGTGGAAAGAACGAATGAGGAAAGAGTGACAAAAAAAATTTATGGTGCAGAAGTGAATGGCAGAGTCGGAAAGGGACGTCCTAGGCGAAAATTTATCGACCAAATTGGCGATTTATTGAAAACGGGCCAAATTAGGAGTACCCTTAAACGACGAGCATGTATGCGTAGGTGTATGGATGTGAAGGAGGCAAGAGAGGTGTGTCAGGATCGTGCCAAATGGAAGTCTGTAGTCTCTGCCTACCCCTCTGGGTGACAGGCGTGAGTGTTTATGTTTTATATATGTTTATGCTTTGCAATGACACCACTAAACTATTCATCACCACCATACAATGAAAGATTGCTGTAAGACAATTAACAATATTATTTTTCTTCTTTTTTTTTTACAGGATTTTCTTCTACATCTTGGAGGCAGTTTACAAACATGTATTGCACAAGGAAAAACATTTAGACCTAGAACAAATACTTGTAGGCAATACAAATACTTGTTCTGTACGGGATTCAACTCCAAGCGCTGAAGAAACTTTAAAAATAAGAAAACAATTATGTACAATATGGCCTTGTGCTTATGTGTATCTTTCTTTCTTTCAAGTCATTGCTGAGCCACTGCGTCAAAATTTTATAATTATACACTCCACTTAACATCATTCAATTTTACGACAACTTCCTAAAGCGTCGCTATCACTTGACTTTGGTTGGTTTAGCTTGTCTTCCATACAATGATACACTCTATAACATTACACCCACTCTCAATAACGATAACAATTAATATATATATATTTAACTAGCATGACTATTTTAAGCAGTCAACTTGGATAACCGTGCTGTGCTGGTTAATAAATATTGAATGATACTTACGGAAAGGGTCCGGTCATTATAGTGACGTGCCCGTTGCATCGCCAACTCAGCTTGTGCCCGCGCCCGATACTGTAGTACCAGCTCTGGCACAGCCAGGTTGACTTCCTTCCCCGTCACCTCACCAAATTGCTGCATTAAGAACATTAATTGAATATTTTAAATGTATAAATTAATTGTAAAAGAAAGGTATAGATTTTTAATGACATACAAACATGTTAAAAATTTTTGCAAAATCCAAAAGTGTACACCTCAAACGCTCATGTAATGTTTTGAATAATCAATTTACTTTAATTAATAACACTGGTCGGCATCAAAATAAGAGCATAAAAATGTATATATGGAAGTTATTACGTTAGTTACGTTAAATCCAAATATGTAGTTAGAATTCACCAAGCATGTCTAGTTTCGACGCAATAGCATTTTTTGTTTGCACTAGAATTGTTTGCTTATAGTTGCAGGCAGCGGTATTTGTGAACGTTGGTATGTACATGTATTTAGTTGTGTTCTGAGTCTGTCTCTATGTTAGAAAGAAACAACAAGCTATTGTTTACTGCTCTAACTAACTGACATGCGCGAAGCGCGAACGCAGTGATTGTTTTGAACAAGTGAGCGACGTACGTGAGCTGATAGAAGAACTGCTTTCGTCGTATCATCAACTTGGATGCAATATGTCTTTAAAAATTCACTTCTTGCATTCGCATTTAGATTTTTTCCCAGAAAATCTTGGTGCCGTGTCTGATGAGCATGGTGAAAGATTCCACCAAGACATTGCACATATGGAAAAAAGATACAGCGGCAAGTGGACCCCAGCAATGCTAGCTGATTTTTGCTGGGAAATAAATCGAGAAACAGCAGTTAAAATGTATAAAAGAAAGCGATCTACCAAATAGTTATCATTTTTATGTTTTTTTTTATATTTTTTAATTCATATTTCATTTTAATTTGTGTTGTAAAAGTCATCAATCAGTGTAAATTTTTTCTTTCTAAAATATATACATATTTAATATATATATCAATACCGATATTTTATTTAAATGTAAATATCTGAAAAGCTAGAGGTAATAGTTGAAATCTTTAAACAGATTTGGACTCAACAAATCAAAGCCAATAGAAATCACATAGTAAACTTTTTGCTCCCGGATTTTTATTTTTTTTTTGCCGACCAGTGTAATCGAAACACGCATTTCGTTAAAAGCTAAAAAAATGTTTCTATTTCATTAACACGATTTTTTTAGACTTTTTGATACCTATGATTATTATATATACCTATGATTATATTTTGCTACCGAAAAAAATTGTACCGAAACCGAAAAAAAATCAAAGTAGTAAGTTCAGTTTTTCGAAAGATATCTTGATCACATACATAACGACCAACAGTCAGTTAATAAATATCGAAATAATTAATCTTCTAAGTTAAAAGATCAACGTGGGTTTTATGTTATAAGCCACGTCAGAAGAATTAACTGAAATCTCCTCTTGCTATTTATTGGTGTACTTTTTTTTATTATCAAGTGCAATATAAAGCTGGTGGGAGTGATTTAAGTTGAGTAGATCGCGATTATTTGATTTGGTGACAGAAAATGAAATAAAATGTTTATTTGCATTTTGTTAGTGGACTCCGAAGATAATCACAATAATTAAACATCCGCTTAATCAGGCATTATTAATGGCACGCAAATCTTATAACTATAAAATGTCGAGATTATTTAAGAGTAAGATGTCTACAATAACAAATGGTCAAGAAGTAATCAATAAATAGGTAATATATAATAATAAATATTTTATAATTGGTCCAGTAAATTTGTTTCATTTAAGTTGCTATTATCTATAGTAGTTCACGATACAGGAGAAAATCTTAGTGTAGGGGTAACATTCTTTTTTTTTTTAAATATTCCTGTATAGTGTAAGAAGCTTTTTTGCGTTCGATGTGTGCAATCGAATATATTAATTTGAAAACTGTGATGACAATAACATTCCGTGTCTAAACAAGAGTAATCAATTGGAATAGCCAGATATATTAATTCTTGCATTGAATTTAGTTAATTAAATAAAATAGATATACAGAAATAAGTGCTATGATTACATAACAACTTAATATCTACAACAAATTAAGATCACATTAACAACTTAATATCTGTGGGGTTAGCCAAGTCAACTTTCCACAATTGTTACAGCTAATAGAAAACTATAAAATTAATGATAAGTCATGTGTCAGACGTGATACTCAATGTTATGTCAAGATATGTCATTCTAAGTCAGTTTTTTAGTTGTTTTAGTATTATATATATTATATGTATATTGTACAAAATTAATTTAGACATACCCATAGGTGAGCAATGAATTTGTTTGTCATCAATAATCAAATATAAAAAATGTTAGTGTGTATATACAGGTACAAACATACATGTTCATACATTTAATTATATGCTTGAGTGTATCTGTTTACACGTATTTAATTAGAGTTATCTTATTTAGTTTGTAATTAATTAATAATTATCGTAACTAAAGTATATATTATATAAAAATAGTTTCATTTTTGCATCCTCTGGCTGGAGCTCACATCATTTGCATGTACACGAGTAAGCATATTGACATTAGCTCGAATATTTTTTGCAACCATGACCTGCATACTAGTTGATTTTGTTTTGATTGGTGTCGTTATGTGTATTTGTGTGCATTTAAGTGCGTGCTTGAGTACGTACCGCGAAGTGCAGCAGCAGTGCGTCCAGTTCGTCGGGCTCGAAGCCGGAGACGAGCAGCGCGCGCGGGCGGTGGTCAACGCTCTGGTTCATGCCGAACGTGCGTGTGCGTGTAGGTGCGTGCGTGAGTACGTATCGCGAAGTGCAGCAGCAGTGCGTACAGCTCGTCGGGCTCGAAGCCGGAGACGAGCAGCGTGTGCGGGCGGCGGTCCACAATCTGGTTCATGCCGAACGTGCGTGTGCGTGTAGGTACGCGCGTGAGTACGTATCGCGAAGTGCAGCAGCAGTGCGTCCAGCTCGTCGGGCTCGAAGCCGGAATCGAGCAGCGCGCGCGGGCGGTGGTCAACGCTCTGGGTCATGCCGAACGTGCGTGTGCGTGTAGGTGCGTGCGTGAGTACGTATCGCGAAGTGCAGCAGCAGTGCGTCCAGCTCGTCGAGCTCGAAGCCGGAGACGAGCAGCGTGTGCGGGCGGCGGTCCACAATCTGGTTCATGCCGAACGTGCGTGTGCGTGTAGGTACGCGCGTGAGTACGTATCGCGAAGTGCAGCAGCAGTGCGTCCAGCTCGTCGGGCTCGAAGCCGGACTCGAGCAGCGCGCGCGGGCGGTGGTCCACGCTCTGGTTCATGCCGAACGTGCGTGTGCGTGTAGGTGCGTGCGTGAGTACGTACCGCGAAGTGCAGCAGCAGTGCGTCCAGCTCGTCGGGCTCGAAGCTGGAGACGAGCAGCGCGTGCGGGCGGCGGTCCACATTCTGGTTCATCCCGAACGTGCGTGTGCGTGTAGGTGCGTGCGGGAGTACGTACCGCGAAGTGCAGCAGCAGTGCGTCCAGCTCGTCGGGCTCGAAGCCGGAGACGAGCAGCGTGTACGGGCGGCGGTCCACAATCTGGTTCATGCCGAATGTGCGTGTGCGTGTAGGTGCGTGCGTGAGTACGTATCGCGAAGTGCAGCAGCAGTGCGTCCAGCTCGTCGGGCTCGAAGCCGGAATCGAGCAGTGCGCGCGGGCGGTGGTCCACGCTCTGGTTCATGCCGAACGTGCGTGTGCGTGTAGGTGCGTGCGTGAGTACGTACCGCGAAGTGCAGCAGCAGTGCGTCCAGCTCGTCGGGCTCGAAGCCGGAGACGAGCAGCGCGTGCGGGGGGCGGCGGTCCACACTCTGGTTCATCCCGAACGTGCGTGTGCGTGTAGGTGCGTGCGTGAGTACGTACCGCGAAGTGCAGCAGCAGTGCGTCCAGCTCGTCGGGCTCGAAGCCGGAGACGAGCAGCGTGTGCGGGCGGCGGTCCACAATCTGGTTCATGCCGAACGTGCGTGTGCGTGTAGGTACGCGCGTGAGTACGTATCGCGAAGTGCAGCAGCAGTGCGTCCAGCTCGTCGGGCTCGAAGCCGGAATCGAGCAGCGCGCGCGGGCGGTGGTCCACGCTCTGGTTCATGCCGAACGTGCGTGTGCGTGTAGGTGCGTGCGTGAGTACGTACCGCGAAGTGCAGCAGCAGTGCGTCCAGCTCGTCGGGCTCGAAGCCGGAGACGAGCAGCGCGTGCGGGCGGCGGTCCACATTCTGGTTCATCCCGAACGTGCGTGTGCGTGTAGGTGCGTGCGTGAGTACGTACCGCGAAGTGCAGCAGCAGTGCGTCCAGCTCGTCGGGCTCGAAGCCGGAGACGAGCAGCGTGTACGGGCGGCGGTCCACAATCTGGTTCATGCCGAACGTGCGTGTGCGTGTAGGTACGTGCGTGAGTACGTATCGCGAAGTGCAGCAGCAGTGCGTCCAGCTCGTCGGGCTCGAAGCCGGAATCGAGCAGCGCGCGCGGGCGGTGGTCCACGCTCTGGTTCATGCCGAACGTGCGTGTGCGTGTAGGTGCGTGCGTGAGTACGTACCGCGAAGTGCAGCAGCAGTGCGTCCAGCTCGTCGGGCTCGAAGCCGGAGACGAGCAGCGCGTGCGGGCGGCGGTCCACACTCTGGTTCATCCCGAACGTGCGTGTGCGTGTAGGTGCGTGCGTGAGTACGTACCGCGAAGTGCAGCAGCAGTGCGTCCAGCTCGTCGGGCTCGAAGCCGGAGACGAGCAGCGTGTGCGGGCGGCGGTCCACAATCTGGTTCATGCCGAACGTGCGTGTGCGTGTAGGTGCGTGCGTGAGTACGTATCGCGAAGTGCAGCAGCAGTGCGTCCAGGTCGTCGGGCTCGAAGCCGGAATCGAGCAGCGCGCGCGGGCGGCGGTCCACGCTCTGGTTCATGCCGAACGTGCGTGTGCGTGTAGGTGCGTGCGTGAGTACGTACCGCGAAGTGCAGCAGCAGTGCGTCCAGCTCGTCGGGCTCGAAGCCGGAGACGAGCAGCGCGTGCGGGCGGCGGTCCACACTCTGGTTCATCCCGAACGTGCGTGTGCGTGTAGGTGCGTGCGTGAGTACGTACCGCGAAGTGCAGCAGCAGTGCGTCCAGCTCGTCGGGCTCGAAGCCGGAGACGAGCAGCGCGTGCGGGCGGCGGTCCACACTCTGGTTCATCCCGAACGTGCGTGTGCGTGTAGGTGCGTGCGTGAGTACGTACCGCGAAGTGCAGCAGCAGTGCGTCCAGCTCGTCGGGCTCGAAGCCGGAGACGAGCAGCGTGTGCGGGCGGCGGTCCACAACCTGGTTCATGCCGAACGTGCGTGTGCGTGTAGGTGCGTGCGTGAGTACGTATCGCGAAGTGCAGCAGCAGTGCGTCCAGCTCGTCGGGCTCGAAGCCGGAATCGAGCAGCGCGCGCGGGCGGTGGTCAACGCTCTGGGTCATGCCGAACGTGCGTGTGCGTGTAGGTGCGTGCGTGAGTACGTATCGCGAAGTGCAGCAGCAGTGCGTCATGCTCGTCGAGCTCGAAGCCGGAGACGAGCAGCGTGTGCGGGCGGCGGTCCACAATCTGGTTCATGCCGAACGTGCGTGTGCGTGTAGGTACGCGCGTGAGTACGTATCGCGAAGTGCAGCAGCAGTGCGTCCAGCTCGTCGGGCTCGAAGCCGGAATCGAGCAGCGCGCGCGGGCGGTGGTCCACGCTCTGGTTCATGCCGAACGTGCGTGTGCGTGTAGGTGCGTGCGTGAGTACGTATCGCGAAGTGCAGCAGCAGTGCGTCCAGCTCGTCGGGCTCGAAGCCGGAGACGAGCAGCGCGTGCGGGCGGCGGTCCACACTCTGGTTCATGCCGAACGTGCGTGTGCGTGTAGGTGCGTGCGTGAGTACGTACCGCGAAGTGCAGCAGCAGTGCGTCCAGCTCGTCGGGCTCGAAGCCGGAGACGAGCAGCGCGCGCGGGCGGCGGTCCACACTCTGGGTCATGCCGAACGTGCGTGTGCGTGTAGGTGCGTGCGTGAGTACGTACCGCGAAGTGCAGCAGCAGTGCGTCCAGCTCGTCAGGCTCGAAGCCGGAGACGAGCAGCGCGCGCGGGCGGTGGTCCACGCTCTGGTTCATGCTGAACGCCTTAGCGCCCACCGCCGGGCCACCGCGCACGAACCGCGTGCTCGAGAACCGACCGCCCCTGTACGCAAACACAACGCACATTAATATTCGCCCGTGCATTATTGCCCGTGAGGACGTGTGTAGCCTACATTGTGTCAAGCTGGCACGACTACACTAATATTAAATTTATTACAAAGTGAACGTTTTTAAAAATCAAATCCCAGTAATTTCAAGTGCATTTTTTCCCCAATTCATGTATCATTTCTGTCTTTTATGACTTTATATTTAAGAATAAAAAAGGAAACAAAAACAAATACAGGCAGATAGAACTACAGTTTGTAAATAAATAATGAAACCACAAAATTAGAAAGTGTATGTAAATTATTTACACTTTCTAAATTCACCTTGAAGTTATACATATGAAATGATTCTTACCTAATTTTTCTCTTCACGATTCGATAGCTTGAAAAAGAAGATTATACATAAAGTTTATTGCTGTTACTGTAGATAAAAACGATAATTTACCATCTATTATTAATAAATTTAGTTGGTTAGTTTACCCAAGTTTGGTCAAAAATTTATAAAGGGATATAATACATTACATCACAGTTTACAGACCTTACAGTTGGGAAATGAATGTACTTGTGCAGAGCAAGTGTAGGGGCACAGCGGGACAGGGGGTGGGCCGACCTTGTGCTAGCGCACTTCACTGAGTCTGATAGACAATACATGCGGTTGGCGCGTGCGTGTTTTATAGTACTTATTTAACTAATTTCAAGTGTCATTTGCGAAAAATATAACATCTAGAATGCTCAATTACTGTTATAGTTATATGATTTACTAAGTAAAATTGAATTCAAATGTAGGCTATGCTTATGTTGTTCTTTTGATAAAATTGTTTATCCAAATGCAAACTATATAATACTACATAATTAAATTTAACAATCGAAAACGGGAAACAACTATAAGAAAGTGTCACGAAAATATTTGGCAGTGCAACACTTGTAAATGTGTTTTTTTTTGTAGTAATAAAAAACGATCTTGTTCGATAAATGTTTTTCACTTATAAGTATGTACATAATGTTAATAAATGAAAATGTATTAACGTATTATAATACTCAAAATTACTTTATTACCCTTTTCGGGATAATATATAGCTGCAAAATATAATTCATTTATTCAAATAGAACCATAATATTACTGCGGCGCCGATCCACCACTCACGTTTATAAAAGCAAAATGCAAGTTTGTTTCCTCGCGTACGGTGAAATTTACCGCGAGCATTAACCATCTGAGCTACCACGGCTACTACTGGGTATTAATTAACATAGTATATAAACTACAAGTAAATCTTTAAAACAACCATAAAACATACATGCTTTGTAAAATGAAATGAAATTATACTTACTTAAGCCCTTGCATATTTATAGCAAATACTACTATACTATACGAATAAGACTTTCAAAGTTTATGGAATTTTGGTCAGATCTTTTGATTCCATTAATTAAAAAACTATTTTATGAGTTATGTTATCTTTGTTAAAAAGAAGATTAAACAACAAACCTGGAGTGTAATCTCCTGGTGCCGGGATGCGTCGGGAATTGTATTGTCATCTGTCTTCTCAGTTCAGCAATCTTTTTCATCAACTCTGTCACATCTTGGCCCTCCTGAAAATCAATAATTATCAACATAATTTGCTTTACTTTTTGATGGCGTGAAAGTGTTTTATATATGTTTTTGCTATATATATATATATATATATATATATATATATATATATATATATATATATATATATATATATATATAAGGGTTTGAACACAAAAGTTTTGTTATATTAGCAGTAGTTAATTTCTTGTAGCTTTTCAAACTTTAACTTCATCAACTTCATGTTGACGTCATCGAGTATTCCGTAAAGTTACGGACACGGTAACCGTGACAGCCATTGTCGCCCGCACCACGCCGTTGGTCGATAAAAATTAACTAACATGGATTGTTATCGACTAAACTGAACAATCGACTAATTCGATTAGTTTTAGTAATAATCGCCCGTCGCTAAAATAAATCACTTGTACATTCCAAATGTGTGATAAGTCACGACTTATCCTTGCATATGTTATTCCCATTCATTTTCATAGCTTTCCATTAGCACTGCAAAGAAAAAAACTGAAAGTCTACAAGACAACTTTGCTAACCCCGCAGTAAGTCACATGACAGGCAACAATCGCGATTACGTTATTATCACATCTCTCTCATTCTCAACTGTCGGACTTACCTGTTGCTTGGTGAACATATCCAGTTCAGCATCAAGAATCTCTTTCTGCGCCTCCTCACGGGTCTTTGGTTTCTTAACCTGTCAACAAACAATATATTTATTGTGGCAGAGCCATGCTGAAGCTATATTATGGTTGGAGCATGAATCGCTCGACCGCTTAAGGATCACACTATCGCGGAATACTAGTTTAATATAACAGCTTAGCTAACTTAACTAGTATTCTGATTTTGTATGAGTGGAAAATCAAAGACACTTCTTACCGAAAACGAGGTATTTAATCTTAGTCCTCAGGGGTCGTCACCCCTGCATCGCATGCAACGCTTCTGCATTTTGTTTCTTTATCGAGGATACATGTAGATGTCTATAGGCCACAGCATCCACCTACCATCAGGTGGGCTGTGTGCTCGTTTGACACCCTTTCTTGTATAAAAAAATGGGATTTAATAATTCTGTTATGAGCCGCATGGGCATACTGGCGACGGAGTACAGTAAGTCAAGAGTCATCTGGTATTACAGTTGTCAATTAACCAGGCAAGCGTGAACTAAGTAAATGATCCCTTCACTGGAGAGACCCATGTCTACTATTGCACTATTATTTATATTTTTATATTTATAAGTTATATTATGTTCAATCATTATAATTCTTAATGAAAGGACCTTTAATGTTCAAGTATTTAGTAGTATGTCTGGGTGATGAAGTTGGCTTTCTACAATTGTTAACTCTAATAATATCTTTAAAATGCATGAACATTAAGACACATTAAGTCACGTAAACACGTGACTTAATGTTAAGATATGCTTCTTTTATATAAGAGGGAGCCAACGCTTATTGGTAGACTGCCAATCAACCAAATGGTATCGTTCGCCGCGATGTACGATGGTGAAATTTAGCGCTAGGAATAGAAGATAATATGTCGTTTCCATTCAGTATTTAGTTTTCTACTAACTTCATGTTAGTAGAATTGTAGAAAATCAACTTTTCTAATCCCACAAAGTAATAATAATAATAAAAATATTGATATCAAAATACTTTAGTTTGTAATTATTTAACAGTTAAAGTAATGTCAGTTCTTGTAAATATATCAGTTAATTGTTAGTTTTAATACCTAAATGATGGATTATGTTTTTTTTTATTAATATTAAAACAACACATCATTGTTATACCATATGATGCAAAACAAAACTCCACTGACCAACACCTTTAGTGAATATCTTATGAATATAAAATTCTTAATAAAATGCACTGAACACGCCTCTGCTCTAATATTTGACGATGAACCGATGGACACTAAGTTAAAATACAACATGCAATTATAATATTACCATGTAAGTTATAAGCTGTATGTTTTAATGGTTGTATTCAACTATACAACATTATTTCATATATAAATTAATTAATGGATAAATTAAATCGTAACAATTATCACTCTTTCAATTTTTTAAGCAAAAGTTAAATACACTAAGCTACGAACCTATTTCAAATCAACTATTCCTAAATGTAACTACCAATAAATTAATCAATAATTATAGCTAAGTAAATAAATGTGTATTGTAATTGTGTATAGTAATATTTATTAATTCTACAATAATTTATTACAAATGTCTTGCAATTCTAAGTGTGTATTTTTATTTTGAGCCAGCCAAGAAAGCTTTGTACGTAAGTGTACTATGACTAGCTCAAACTCATATAAGTAGCCTGATTTAGATGTGTAACAGACTTAAAAATTACTAGGTCAGGATCATTTGAATTGGTTATTGTAGGTGTTATCACAAGGAAATCTTATCTGTCAATGTCACCTCTTGAGCCCCTTATTAGATATGGGTTTCTAAATATATTAACGTAAATCTCATTCATACATCACAGTGTGTATTTAAATTTCTTTATTTGATAATATATAAAAACATACACTATTTATAATAAATACTCTAATTTTATGAAGCTATATGTGACAGACATACGGATGAAAGTAGTAATATGAACATATAAATGATCATATTTACAGAGTACATAAGAACATACCTTCGTGTGCATTCGTGTGCGCATGCGATGTGCTTAGTAGTAGATTGTGAATGACTTTCTACCTAGAGACCAGTTTTATGAAAATGTAATGTTATGATGTTCAGATACATATTTTTTGTAAAAATTAAATAATCAGCAACGTGAAACAAATTGGGACCTTTTTAAAAATAAATAACAGCTATCAAGCATGTATGTTACACAATTAACGACACAAAACAAATTAGAAATTGCTTGGTAGCGATCACCTCGAGCCTAGGGGTTATTATCATCCATAAATTCTTTAATATTATAATAATCTTTTTTACACAAACATAGGTTAATATTGTTTTTGAACTTTGAGTCAAATTTTGTATATTTAGTAAAATTTTGTAGTTTTAAAAATTAGTACTCTCTCTTTGGGAGAGTTAGTTATGGTAACCGATTTTTTTAACTTACGTAACCCTAATTGTAAGTTAAAACAATATGTTATTTACTCGCAGACTATTTTAATTAAAATATTACATCTTTTTCATTAATAATGGCAATTCTATACCAATTGGTAATCGACTGACAAGATCCTTCATTATCTTTAGTACTAACAATAAAGTATAGATGGGTATAAAACTTGTGTAGAACGCGCACGCGCTGCCATTGCGAGACTTCCTCGCAACGTCGCGAGCTGGTACGAGTTACACGTGCCATATCGTAAAGGACTCATCCGCGCAGTGGTACAGCTTAAGGCTTAGCACGCACTGCGATTAAACGCGAGAGGTTTAGGAATAGCTGAAAACGCAAAACCGCATACAATCACGCAATGCGGCTGGAATTTTACTTAATTTTATTTCAGTACCACTATGGATTTAGGGCGAGTAGCGTGTGTTGTGACTTTGGTTTTTAAATTAAAAAATAGAAAACGTAAACAATAGCGCCGCCATAAGTACTGGGTAAATCCACTAACAGATAAAAGAAATCTGAATGGATACTTTTGCTACTATTTAGTACCGCAAAAAACGACTGTCCTCTGTGCTCGTCTAGTCGAAACCGAACGCGGTTAACCGCGGTGCGTGCGCCGCCATACTATTACTGTGGGACACATAAAAATCGCGATCCCCAAACCGCGATCGAAATGTAGCAAGTTACATTTTTAATATCAGACACTGAATTAAAAAATCGCTAATGCGTGCGCTTGTATAGAAAGCGATGTGTTAAATTTTTTGCGGTTTCAGACGTGCGGTTAAACGCGTGCGCTTAACCGCAGTGCGTGCTAAGCCTTACAAGTGGCGTCGAGACAAGGCTATCGCGGATTAACCTCCTCTCGCCTTGTCACGCGTCGGTACGAACAGATATACCTCCGGTTTTCCGCTACCCCGTGTTGCCCTCGAGTACAGTCAGTCGGCTCAAACCTCGCGTACTGGTAGCCCGTTCTCTCCGTTATGTAGGCACCTAATTGTTTAAGCTCGGCAAATTATGTAAAGACTTAATGTTGATAAATATAGTGTTTGTAGTACCGTGTGTCAGGGTTTCTTTTATGAAACTTCCCTCATTGGCATACCAGTGGCCACTACACTTGTAATCTTAGATTTTTATAATAATAATATAATATTTCTTCTCGTTACACGTCGTAGTTCAGTGCCGAAACCAAACCTTCCCAAAGACGAATTTACAGCGTTAAATAACTTATGGAACAGACCAGAACTCACGATTCTCCGCGCGGATAAAGGAAATGCTACGGTAGTAATGGACGCGTCGGAATATAATTTAAAAATACAACAACTTTTATCGGACGAAAGTACATATAAAAAGGTCAAAACAGACCCTACATATAACACGCTTAAAACAACTAGCGATTTAATAAAGAAATACTCCGAAAAATTAAATCTCGACGTGAATTCGCTAATACCATCATGTGCCAAACCACCGAGGTTGTATGGGTTACCGAAGATACACAAACCAAACGCTCCACTACGTCCCATAGTGAGCCAGATCGATTCACCAACTTATAAGCTGGCACAATACTTAGCAAAAATACTATCACCACTAAGAGGACATACCAGAGCACACACAAAGGATTCATACCATTTTGTGAGTGAGATAAAAGACCTACATCTCGCTAACAATGAAACTATGGTCAGTTTTGATGTTCAGTCACTATTTACATGCCTACCTATTGTGGACTGCATCTCAATTGTAACTAGGAAGCTAGAAGAAAATAACATGCCTCAAGAATATGCAATACTACTTGAACATTGCCTCACATCTGGCTATCTATTGTGGAAGGAGGAGTTCTACAAGCAAGTAGATGGTGTGGCGATGGGCTCACCTGTGTCTCCCATAGTCGCCGACATATTCATGGAGGACTTTGAGGAGAAAGCCCTTCTTACTGCTCCTGTAAATCCAAAGTTCTACAAGCGGTACGTAGACGACACTTTCACAATTTTACCATCTGACAAAGTAACTGCATTTTTAGACCACCTTAACTCCATAAACTCTAAAATACAATTCACAATGGAGCTAGAGGCAAATAATTCTTTAGCTTTCCTAGATGTTTTAGTCATCCGAAATCCTGATAACACTATTGGTCACACTGTGTATAGGAAAAAGGCCCATACCAACCGATATTTAAATGGTGAATCTCACCATCATCCTTCACAGTTAGCTACCGTGGGTAAATCTTTGTTTCAGAGAGCACGAGGGATCTGTGACAGAAAACATCTGGCCGCGGAGCTTCAGCACGTCAAGCAAGTATTGCAAGACAACAAGCTCCGGGTCCCGCGCCTACGTCACAGTGAACGAGTGAAGCCGGCCACAGTCGAGCGCGCGCCTGCTCTACTACCATATGTTAGAGGAGTCACGGACAAGATTGGCTACATCTTGAAGCGAGCGTCCATTAAGACATACTACAAGCCGCTGAAGAAGATTAGTCAATTTTTACCATCCATCAAATGTAATATTCCTCTACAAGATGCAGGTGTGTACAAGCTAGATTGTGAATGTGGTCTCTCTTACATAGGTCAAACAAAGAGATCTATAAAAACCCGCGTGAAGGAACATATAGCTGATGTGAAGCACCGACGCTCCGGGAAGTCTGCAGTCTGCGAACATGTTCAAGATCGTCCCCACCATTACATTAGATTTGATAAACCACAAATTCTCGCAAAAGAACACCGATTCCTACCAAGGATGATACGCGAGGCTATTGAAATTAAAAAACATCCAAATTTCAATAGAGAAGATGGTTGGGTGCTACCATCTGCTTGGGATCCTATAATTAACAAAATTAAACCCAAACCCAAGCATACCACTGCAAGACTTCATGATACTATAAGCTCGTTTTGCGTAAATCGGACCAAAAATTAATATTAAAAAACTGAAGGTAGCCGGACTAACTATGACATTGGGACGTCAAACATCTCAGTCCCCCCCGTGACCATGGGCGCTGTAAAGCACCCGAAACGTCGGGATAATAATAAAAATAAATTAAAGTAATTAAACGCGATAAAATCCGTAAATAATAGTTTCATTCAATGTGTAGTGTTCGCGTAAATTTAAGAAATCATTATACACGCTTTTTATTTAGCAGTATTGTGTTAAATCAAAACAATATAATAACGTGTCAATAAAAACAATAAAAATCAATAAATAAAACGTAAAAAGTTAAAAATGCATTAAAAACTAAATAGCACACATGAAAGAAGTTAGGGGCTGAGGATCAGAACATGTCAAATTATAGAAATTGAAAGCAAAGTAAAAATGCCGGAAATAAAAGCAGAAGGAAACACTTCTTTAAGCAAAGACAATAACATTGAAAGAAAATAATTAATGCATTTATTATTTATACCGTATTTGAGCATAACTATACTTTATATTATAATTTATTTATAAAATTCATTTTTTCTAATGCAGCCAATATTCAATATCTTGCATTTGATTTGGAATTCCAAAAGTTAATTCTGGGACATTGCTTTCAAAAAACAGTTATTCATTATCTTTTATCAATTGTTTTTTCTTTTACAATACTGTGTGAGGAACCAAATAGGAAATTTGATTTTAGAATATGAGTTCCGTTGAGACACCACTACTTAATTTTCGACATTCAATATAAATGACAGGTACACCAAATGAATGCATGATGCGTTTTAGGTTTACTTGCTTCTGTTCTGAAAATAGCAACCACAACAGGCCCCAAAAACAACTTAAGACTAAAGTCGATAATAAATTGAAAGCTAGTGGAAATGGATCCATCTCAAAAGGCATAAGATTTTGTAGCAACCTCAAATGTAAGTGACGTAATGATATTGACAGTGATAGCACATAAATTGGGTACAGTAGAGCTTACTGGAGGACCACAGCAATAGTGCAAATTATTGCTGTGATCTTTCAGTATTCATTAACGTAGTTCATTTGTGTACCATTTCCTTCAGTAAGAGCCGACACTATAAACAAGACAAGTAGGATTCTTTATACCGTTTGCAATCTTTATTCGCAATGGTTGGACAATGAGTCAAAATATGCCTATGTAGGTATATTGTCAAGAATTACAAATGTTCAAGCCTGCCGTCAACAATCAAGATTTAATTGCTTTTATTTACCTACTTCCCCACAACAATGGTCGTGTTTACATTACAAGAAGACTTTTGTAGGTAAAAAATAGCATCAAGTATAACATTATGGTAATAGTTTTCGATATATTGTGTTCGACATGTCGTAGTTATACTAACCCTTAAAATTTTGCAATAACTTCTTTAATATATATTTTTAATAAATAAATTTTGCTATTTAACTTCATGTATTTTGATTAAAACATTAAGTTAAAATTTTTATTATCCAAAACATTTCCATTCACTAATATCCCATATGTGTATATAGTAATGGTAAAAATGTCTCCCATATCAATGACAAGTCAGACAAGTGCAACATGACCGTGAGACAAACAAAACGCGACCCAATATGGGTGCAACAAGATGCACAATCGCATGCGCACGCGTATACCTGCGCCAGTTGCAGCCGCGACATCGACCGCGCCACGCTCTCTTCCTGCCATCCACAATACTATGTTATTTTTATAATTTAATGTACTGGCATGTGTATTTGAGGTCAAATTCCAGGGAATAAGATAAAATGAGAAGGCAATCGACAGATCCAACTCAGATGGGCAATGTTCAGAAGATTATGACACATATTGTCATAACTTGAAAACAATAGTGTACAACCAGTATGTGTTTCTAGTAATGAACTATAGAACCGAGTCATTATTCTTCACTTCTGGCCATATGAGGAAGCTCAAGGTCTCTTAGCGAGCTATGGAGAGGGCTATGCTAGAAGTCTCTTTGTGATACAATTTGTAATGAAGATATCTGTAATAGAACCAGAGTGACGGATATAGCCTAAAGGTTTAGTAAGCGAAAGTGGCAACGGGCTCACCATATAACTCAAAGAATCAACAACTGATGCGAAGAAAGGTCCTCCGCGTGGCAGCCTCGTACAGGTCAGTAAGAGCTACAGGATGTCAATAGATACATGGTCGCCCATGTTTTATAGTATTTGTTGGAGAGTCGCTATGTTCAGCAGTGGATTTGTGACGCGTTACAATGATCATTGTGATAAAGGTAAAATGCCTTACTGTTTTATTCTACTAATTAAGTTGACTCTCTTTAAACTTTCATTGGAATATAACAATGGGTCCACTGCCACTTAGCCGGATGATTGGTAAGCACTATCCAGACTCACGCCAAAAACAACCAAGATTATCTCATACACTTTCGTAATTTCTTTCCTATAACTCTTTAGATATGAAGATTATAATGGGGCAGTAAACTTTGTCACTCAATTTTCATACAACATATTTTTTAAGTATTATAGAAGCATTTTTGCCTAGGAATTCCTCAGCTTTCTCCGGTGTGTTAAGGTTCTGGTGTGCACAGGCTGTGAGATATTTAATTTTAGTCCTCAGAGGTGACAATGCTTCTATAGTCTTCTTTGTTAGAAATTAGCTGCTGTTGTCAACAGACTGCAGTAGTCACTTACCATCAGGTGGACATATTGTTTGTTACCTCACTTTTATTGAAAAAAATTAAAAGAAATCTCTTCTGTGGGTACCTCCCATGTGATGCATTCTCATTGTTAAACAGAAAAATTTGAACCATACAACTGCTGGAGTGATTGAGTTTCTTTTAGTAAAAAAAATGTGTACTTAGTTTTATATTACACTGAGAAACTTGATATGGTGTATACCTGCAGTTGCTTCATGGTGCAGTTGAGTTCTTTACGTAGTTTCTCAATTGCTTCCTGCGCAGAATTGATAGCCTCTAGTAGTGCAGTCTTTTGAGCGCCGGTTACATTGCCTGCAAAAACATAATAAAGATATAAGAAACTAATATCACATGTTTTATTAAATCTTTCATCTTTTTGTGCAACATGGGCGTGTTGCGACTGCGAAATGACATATGGATCTGAGACATGATCCTTCACAGCTAGCCATATGAGGAAGTTCAAGTATCCATAGTAGAATCAGAGTAACCTACAAAGGATCAATAAGTACTAGTGATAATGAGCCGGCCACATAACTCAAAGAACTGTCAATTAGTGAGGAAGAAAGGTTCTCAATTTGCAGCCTAGTACCAGTAAGTAAAGTGGAGAGTGGTCCCTCACTAGACGGAGTCAGGCCTATGTTCAACAGTGGACCTGTGAATGGCTGTGATGATAATGAAGATGAACGCATTTGTAGCATGCAAAATGTGACATACATTCACTGAAATCAATTGTAGTCATAATAGGGTATTTTAAACCAAGTAAAAAAAATATTTATGATAGGTTTTGTAAAAAGTAAACGAGAAATATTGATTTCTATTCATAAAAATGCATTATAAAATAAATCAATTTTAAGAGATTTTTTTAATCTGTTTCTCAAATCTCCAAAACGTTATCCGCCATATTAGAGTCAGTCATGACGACACTTACACTGGTTAAGTGAACTAGCTAAGCAGCTGTGTGCTATTTAAAAAAAATTAAAGTTACCATTACGATTGTTGAGTTTTATTTCGAATTTTATTGGAAAGACATCATAGAAGACGTATTCGTAAAAGCAGAAAGTACTAATCTACCAAGATATTTATATATACACTGATGGTGGCAAACATTTTTGCATGTAATATAGATTTTTGTTCTGCAGAGTTAAGTAATGTTATAACATTAATGTAATAAGTACCTATTACCAACTTTTGTCTATACAATAACACAATACCAGGTCAGAGTGTATTTTGATAATACATAGTTATGTCTCGATAATAATCATTAGCAATGATTAGTTGTAATACCTAAGATAACGTAATCTATTACAAAATTTGACTTGCAATACCTATCACATCATGAGTCATGATGTTTTGGTTTGTATAAACGACAGTTAAATATAAGTCATACTTACATCAAAATGATCTTTACAGAAGTAGTCTAGTTTTTGTAGACAATGTATTCGCATATCTACTTGCCAGTTTTAACCTAGTATATCTTATATTTAAATCATTGGGTACTTGAATCCATTACTTCCCCGACGTTCTTATGCTCGTGTTTTTGCATTAATGCACAACACCAATGATAAAGATGATAACTCATTATTACAAACCCAAAAATATCTAATTCCCTTGACAATAGTCAAAATTAAGGCAGTGACGTCACGAGCTTTACAGCATGGCGGCTAGCGTTGTGGCGCGAAATTTTAAAGCGATAAATTAAAAGTAATTTTTAGAGCACTAATCGATAAAAGATTTATATAAAAATTATAGTGGTTTCACTTCATTCTAGGATCCATTTAAAACACTACACTACTACAACACTATTTGAAAAAAGGTGTAATACCCTGTTATGTTATTAGCCTTTGGGGCATATATTAATTTTTTTTTAATAAAAAAAGATTAAGACATGCATTAAAAGACAAAGAAAAAAGAAGGATTTAATGACGATGCATTTGACAACTTCTCACCAGACTCTAGTTTCTGTATAAGCAATCTCTGTTGTTGAAGCTGGGTTTGCAGCAACGCCTGACATCTCTTCTGTACATCTAGAATCTGCTTATTCTTCTCAAGGGGCTTTATTACTGGCTCCTTCTTTGGCTCTTGACCATTTGTTACTTCTTTAACCTGAAATTTACAATAACTTCATTATTTTAAAATATATTTTTCAAACAAGTTTCCTAAACATTCGTGACATAACCATGTTAGGTTAATAATATTAATTTTTAATTTATATTGTAAAGTATGGCTTAGAATTTTAATTGATAATGGTAAAATACACCTAAGCCAAAAACAAAATATTTTTATTTACACAACATGGCTTCAAAAATATCAGACCAAAAATTATTAATAATTGACACTGGCATATAAATTAAGAATTGGGAAGGTCATTGCTTGGGGCCACCTGAGTTAGGGGCAGATAGTTGAAAATGAAATGTTACATTGTAAAAAGTGGCTATATTATAATTGTAATTATACAAAAAAACAGACTTCCTATTCTAAGCTAAGACAGTATGAGCATGACAATTTTTCAAACATTAATGGCTAAATAGAAATTAAAACGTAAGCACAAAGCACAAACCTTTTCGGCTTGTTGTTGTTGCTGCTGTTTATTTTCAGCTGTAGCTTTAATGTTATCTCTATTAATCAACACTTTGTTGTGGGACATGGGATGCTGGGAGTTCTGTCTTTCCGATTGTTTATTGGTCTGCTGTCCACCCGGCGCCATGTTCTCTTGCTTGTTCTGGTTAGAAAATAATAGAATTGATTAATTAGTTTCCTCAAGTAACGTTCAGTGTTATAATTTTATTAGTCATGGTGTCCACTTACTTCTGGATTGTGCCAGAAGACTTTGATGAACCTATTGTTCAAGACGGCCTCGGTACTTTTATACGCTACATTGGCTTCTGTTGGGTTTGAGAATGTAATTAGTGCTCCTTCTGGATCACCTTCAAAGTTCACCTGAAATTTAAAATTTAAATATTTTTATAGAATGTAAAAATATAGTTGTAAGTATATATTACCTTTCAGAAATAGGAAAATTGTGCCCAGCAGTGGGTACAATTTTAGATGGACAGTGGGATTCATTAAAGGCTAATAAGTGTCCACTGCTGAACATAGACCTCCCAATAGATTATGAGGAGGAGGGGAGGATATTTGCCATATTTACCACCACAGAAATAGTAATAGTAAGACAATAGAAATGAATTAGCGCTCGATTACTTCCAAAACCGATGTCGCCTCAATGATATCTAATGGTTTCATATTACATTGCTTGGCGAGTTTGTCAACGTAGAACAATAGCAGCAATGGTAATTGTACAATACGAAAAGTAATAAATGAAAGTTTACAAAGGTAAATATCATAGTAAAGTATTCATTTTGATGTAAGTATCTATCTTGATATAATGTTGCTTATTTACTAAATTCAATGATAATTAGTAAATAATCAACTTACCGATAAAATGTTATGCCTTTATTAGTTGAAATACACATCCTTGATGAGTTTTTACAACTAATTATGCTGCAGTTCATTGTTATAACTTTATAATAACATAAATTCACGCACGACGTTCCCCGCGCAACTAAATCACAAAATGGTGAATTATGTTCGTCAACACATAATAGCGGCGACAAGGTCACGCGTCTATGCGACTTTTATTGTCTTATTATTACGATTTCTGTGGTTACACGTTTCGCAGTCGGGTTGGCAACTACAGTTTATTTTATTTTTAATGTTATAAGGAAGACGTTGTTGCCCATCTCCCGAATTATTTCCCTCTGTAGCTTCTTACGACACCCATGGACGATTTCGGGTAGTAGATATCTTTATACTCTTTTTATGCATATGGTACATTACATACGGCAGCTTAGGGTCTAAGCACTCACTGTGAATTTCAAAGCACCAATAATTTTAATATTAAACAAACTAAGAATCCATTCAAACTCACTTGTATGTTAACAATCTTGCCGAATTTGCTGAAATGGTTGTTGAGATGCGTGATATCGTTTAAGCCACGCGGCACTTTCTTCACTTCCAGCGAACAATTTGCAGCATTTGCTGGTAGAGGTGGACGAACTCCTGTTATAAAAGAAATAACGCGATGACTTAAGGTACATGATTTTATAATTTTTAGCCTCTTGATAGGATCCCGTCAAATCGTATCAATCGGTCATGACATTTGAAATTGTGAAAATAAATTACAATGGGTGTTAATTTTGTGAGACATTTCTGCCAAGCCCTAAGTACACAACAAGAAAAAACGACAAAATTTTTAGGAGCCCGCCATAATAATGATTAATAACAGGTCGCGGAAAAAATTTTTTCGTATTTTTTTTGTATCAAATTGAAAAAAATTTCTTATGTTGTACTACTTTTATCTGGCTGGTTTGAATATCAAACAAATCCGTTTACCACTTAATATTATTATTTTTTATTCCTAATGTTTCTGCCTAGACCCGTTAAAAAATGCTAAAGGTATACCCTGGGTTAAAAGTGAACAGTCAAACACCCCAGTCCCATGGTGACCCCATGGTTACAGGTCTCAGTAAAGCAGCCGAAATATCGGGAATTAAAATTAAGATAAAATTGAATGCAAAAAAAATGTATTATATTCGTTTAAATATAAGAAATCCTTGTAATAATGAATAATAAACAGCAAAACAAATATCATACCTAGGCGGTGATAGTCGAAGTTCTTTTTGACTGGAGGGGCGTGGCGCGGCGCGGGGGGGACAGCTTCCGAGCGGGGCTCGCCGCGAGCTTCGTGACGCACTCTGTCAAATTATTATATAAGCATTTATATAGACATTACTGATAAATACAGTGATTTAACTGTTGAAAACTTTTCTTAATATCAATTTAAAATTTATTAATGAGTAATTTAAATTCAATATTGTATTCACAGTGTTAACTGTGTAGTGACAATGTAAGAATTTACACCTCATATCGCCCCCTGGATGTTGTAAGAGACGATAGAGGGGAAAAAACTAGGAGATAACAGTATCTTCTTAATAACAACTAAAGAAAACTACGGATATTCCTAAAAGTAGAAGAATTAAAAAAAGGGTTTCAAAATGTGTAAGAAATTAAAAGGCACGCCACTGAGGTTTTATTTTGTGAATATAACATAAACTAGAAATCGATAACATTTTATTCATAAATTTCAACTATTTTTTGATGACAATGTGGTGTATTTAATAAATAAGATCACTGGGTGATTCCAACTAGCAATATGTGATGAACGCACTGACCACTATATATACAAATTAGACCGTGCTGTGTAGAAATGACGCAAACTATACATTGACCAAGATATTGATCCAAAGGATTTTTTTTCATTTTATTACCAAGTATGAAAGAGTTTTGAAAAATAAGACTTAAAAAAGCAATTATAAAGTCTACATTGAATTTTCTTTAAAATATCACATCACATCAAGCCTCAATAATGCTGTGTTTTTCAATTATTAACAAATATTTAACATTTTTTAATTCTTCTAGTTTTAGGAATATCCATAGTTTGATATGCATTTATAACATGAAATCTGTCAAAAATTTCAACTCCCTCATTTTGACAGTTACATAATCGCACTGGTGTGAGGGCGATGCAGGAGCCGCTGTAATCTGACATAGCAACACAATCGCAGTGGTGTGATAGCGGGGGTGCAGCGGGCGCAGTTACCTGGGTATGGGCACGAGCTCGCGCGGCGGCAGCGGTGGCAACGCCGCGTGGGGAGCGTGGGGGCCGTGCGGCGCGTGCAGCGCGTGCGGCCCGTGCGCCGCCGGGAACCCGGGGAAGCCTGCCGTGCCGCACCAGATGTCCGGCGTCAGCGGGTTGTACTCTGCGGAAACAACGTCCTGTGTTTTAGCTAGGTGTCCATTTGATTAGGTTCCACCCTCTTTCCTCCAAGTTCAAAGAGCCAGTTTAATTACAGGCTTTGTATGTAATAGCCTCATAGCTAATCATCCCTACAGTAGACTGTAAGGAGAGATATAACGACTAGCAATGTGCTATTACAGGCTGATGAAAAAAAAGGAAACATAAAATGCAATGTAAAATAATATTATTATGTGTGACAACAACATTTCTGTGGTCATTGTCCTGTCCCTAGCACAATCAGCCACTGCTCTCCAACAGAAGACAAATTCTAAAAATTGGACCAATCAATAAGAGATGTATAGTCTTTATAGTCAGTGACAGTAATTAATAATTATTATAATTTTACACAAGCGAATAGTTAATTATGGAATAAGAGGTTACTCTTGCCTGCTACGGAACTTAATCGACAAGGCGCATAATTAGAAAACATGAGTCTCATCATATCCTGTCTAAATCTGCATTTTATCAGTAAAGTGCACAAGCGCAATTAACAAATTTAATTTATTACAACACTAAATTTTTGAAAAAAAAAATTATCAGAATAATACAACCTTAACCTATATTTTTCCACGGCTATAGCTTGCGCATAGTGCTAAAAATATTAAGGAGTTACTTATTTGTCTGAACCTATATCTGGACCGTATGTAAGGCTAATGTCATAAATTTAAAAAATGCTATGTTAGAAACAGAGTGAAAGAATCAGGCCAGAAAACCAACAATTGTGTTTTGGCATAAATTTTCTAGTTAGGATTCACAACAAGTGCCACACGATTGTAGTTACAATCAAAGAATATAGTAAAAAAACTCACCAGGTACTGGTGGTTGCATTGGTAGAACTCTAGAAAGCGTAGCATCTTCAAGTACTAATGGGTCGGTGCCATGGTCCCACTCGCAAAAGTCACCACGCATGCAATAACCCTTTTCTGTTGAAATTTCACATCACCATTAATGATATGGAATCAACAATAATTTATAAAAAAGGAACTTGAAAATATCACAAGTATAAAAAATTTATATAGTGTTTCTTAGTAGCCTCCTTGTATTGATTAAACTGAGCATTAGTTTGAATAGATCCGATATTTATAGGCTTGTAAGGCATTCCATCTGAAGTTTAAACTCAAAACTTTCAGTCAAAATTTGAATCCAGATGAGAGCCAAACATAGACTTCCACATGATTGCCTTATAGAAGGGATATTTGCCATAATTGTCGCTAGGCAGGCAGGTCGGCAGCTGCAGTTTTTATTTTGAGCTGTTATCAGGAAGATGCTGCTGCCCTTCAGCTGTTTCATTTTCCTCTGTCACTTCTTACGACCCCCACGGGATGATATGAGGTACCTGATATCCGTCACGTACTATGTAATACAAATTTTGACTCAACCTAGGGTAATAAATATCACATCTATAAAACTTCTTTCTTTGAAGTTAGTTGCATGTTGTATGTAAAAGCCACTATCAAGTAGTCTATTAGCTCATTAGTTGCTCTGAAATCATAAGAAAGAACCCATTATCAGTAATATAGCATTAACTATAGTTAACCAAATCTAAGAAATACCCTTTGAAGTTTCCACATTAATCATTCAGCAATAACTTTGCACAAGCGTACTCACGCGATTTAAAATAACCTTTTACGTAAATCCGAAGAATTATAAAGTTATCTATATTTCATTACATCGTGTATAGTTTTTTATCACTAATTTAAATTCGCATCTTTCAAACAAAGCAAGATATTATAAAAAATATCCAGTATCACCTTTTTTTACTTGACGTCGTTTCAATGTGTCGCTATGTAACTTACCGTAGTGTTTGGATGATTAAAATTCATATTCAAATAATCAGTAAAAATGTCCAAATAATCGAATCGTTATTTTTTTAATGTATGATTTGTTTATCTAAATTTTTATTTTGAAAATTCCTAAGTTGCATGAATCACGAATAAAACAAGTTTTTTTTACTTCGTCAACGTAAATTTGTGTAGGCAAAAAAAAAACTCATAGAATCACATAGTGGTTTTTCAATACATAATTTAAATCCACTAAGTAATTTCAATCTCCCGCCATTTCGGGAGTTACTTGCTAATTTTTTTTGTCTTCTTATTTTGTTACTCGGCTTTAACTTTTTGGACTGTTTATTTTATATTCGTTGAAGCATGTGCCCATGTCATAAAGGATGATTGGTCAAAAGTGGTATAAAAAACAAAAAAAATTGATTTTATTAAAATTGAAATTTATTTGATTTTCAATAATGCAGTCAAAAGTAATGTCTTTTTCGAAGTCATCCATAATCAATTTTTTTTTGTTTTTTAATTAATCTAAACAACGACAGCTCAGCAGCTTTAGTTGTACTAAAAGTGATTGAATATATTTATTTTTAATCTAGTTTCGATCTTAAATTTTTATAAATGTGCCTCTAGAAATAAGCAGTAACTCACAACAAATACGAAGAAACTGATAAATCTTGTTTTCAATTATCCGTTTTTAATTTATTCTAGTATTATTCAAACCAAGCTGTAAATGATTACAAACTCTAAATAAACGTTATTGATTTTTTTTAAGAATCGAATTTTGTACGTTCCCATTTTTTGGTTGGCATGCTTGGTGCATTAATTCTGACAGCTGTCAAAATGTATTTCTTAGATTTGGTTGACTATAAATGACATATTTACCAAATTCAAATAGCACCTGAACACTGCTGTGTTTCATTTGGTGAGTGTAGAGAACTAGAGACCCTTTTTACTGGAAACGAGGCGTTCCATCTTAGTCCTCATGGGTGACAATGCATCTGCATTTTGATTCACTTATTGAATATAGATGTAGATGTCTATGGGCCACAGCAACCATTTACCATCAGGTGGACTGTGTGCTCGTTTGCCACACTAATACTATAAAAAAAATTGTCCGTACTGTTTGGCTCAAATATTCCAGCTTCAACTAAAACTATGTCCAGTAAAAAGTCCATTTCTGTCGCATCGTATATTGTAGGGCCTCAGATAATCGGACCACACAAAATTTACGCCCATTCGAATTAATGAGGCATTCGGATTATAGTATGGAGATATTTTTGAAAAACAAGCCCCTGAAATACAGGTATAATTTCCTAGTTTAAAGGCTACTGGCTACTAAGTTTTTGTACAAGTAATATCAATAAAGATTATTATTGTTATTATTTTAAAAGGTGTTTTTTAATTGAAAGTAAACACGAATATAAAATCAATATGTATTAATTGTAAAAAAAAATATCGAGTATAACGAGAGTGGTGTTTAATGAATAATCCCAAAATTTACGCAATATTTTTTTTTTGAAATTGAAGTATCTATTGAATTATTAGTTTGGATTATAGAGGCGTTCCAATTATCAAGGCTTTTTAACTATATGAACTCATAATCATTCTTGTATGAAACAGGAAGTTGATGCAAATGATTGTCTTTGGGACGATGATGACCATGATGTCTCTTTTTTTGAGATACATCATCCTATTAAGACTTTCTTATAAAACCTTTAACCCTCTCAGTAAACATGATACATATTATACATCATGACCGTAATCTTGCCAACCGCAAACGATACACCATGATTGTGGTGATGATTCAACTCATTGATTATTTTAAATTTAACAGCTGAAATGTCTAGTTTTATCTGATTCTTTTTTAGGGTTCCGTAGTCAACTAGGAACCCTTATAGTTTCGCCATGTCTGTCTGTCCGTCCTCGCTTAATCTCTGTGACCGTTAGCACTAGAAAGCTGAAATTTGGTACCAATATGTGTATCAATCACGCCGACAAAGTGGTAAAATAAAAATTGGAAAAAAAAATGTTTTATTAGGGTAGCCCCCCTATATGTAAAGTGGGAAGTGATTTATTTTAATTTCAACCCTAACGTGTGATATATTGTTGGAAAGGTATTTAAAAATGAATAGTGGTTTACTAAAATCATTTTTTGTTAATGTCAATAATTTCGGAAATAATCGCTCCAAAAGTAAAAAACAATGTGTCCCCCCCTCCTCTAACTTTTGAACCATGTTTAGAAAATGTGAAAAAAAATCTGAAAAGTAGAACTTTATAAGGACTTTCTAGGAAAATCACTTTGAACTTGGATGGAAACAACAGTACCCACTATCGGGAGCAGTTGCAGGAGCGCGGAGCGCTGCTGGAGCGCGAACATAATGGATACCTTTAAACTCATAAGTGGGAACACTTATTGTGATGGACGGGAACCCTACACTGAGCGTGGCCCGACCGCTCTTGGCCGGTTTTTTTATAATATACTTTTTTAATAGAAATAAATAAAATACATAAAAATTTAGTTATTAGCTTAGCTTTTTCTAAATAATGTTTATAAACATGATTTATGATGTATAATGCAACAGTTGATAGTACTTACCATCATAGTCCCTACAGCGTCGTTTGTACGCGTCGGGCACTTCAAGCCGTGGCGACGTGGAGCCGCGCGATCGATCACGTGACCTATCACGGGAACTGGAGAAGAAAAATTGTGATATGAACAATGTGAAATGTACAGAGTTTTACTTGGTAGAGCCATGTTGCAGCTATATTGTGGTTTAGCAGGAATGGGTCACCTTGACTGGAGGAAGGACAACACTCTTATAATACCAGCGTGGAAAAGCAACTTAATACTGCTGTTTCGTATGGTGAGTTGAACTGGAGACCCTTTTTTACCACCATTAAAAAAGGGTCTCCGGTTCCAGGTAAAATGCATTCCATCTTAGTCCTCAGAGGTGACAACCAATCACCATTTTGATTCTTAATCAATGATATATGTAGATGTCTATGGGCCATAGCCACCACATACCATCAGGTAAGTTATGTGCTTGTATGTCACATTTATTCTGTAGAATATTAAAATGACTTAGATGTATTTTTAATTGGAAAGAAATAGGAACTGCTCTATGTTGTTTAATAAGATTGAATTGTTACTATTAACTCTGTGGTTTTAGATAACAGGTGACATCAAAAAAAAATCATCATCATTACAGCCCTTCACAGACCACTGCTGAAACATAGATCTCGCCGAAGGAATGCCGGTTTCCGAAAATGCTTTAGCACCATAAACCACATACATACCCTTCGGCAAATTGTACAGAAGATCGAGGAATACAATCTGCCACTATGGCTTATGTATATAGACTATGAGAAACCCTTTGATTGCGTCAAAATTTGGGCGGTGCTGCATTCCCTTCAGCGGTGCCAAGTTTACTGTTAGTATATCAAAGTGCTGAAGTGTTTGTACAGTAAGGCTACAATAACTATCAGAGTACAAAAAATATGTAAGGCCATTGTATTATACCACAATATACAAATTTACTTTTAATATCAATATTTTGACATTTCCAAAAGATTGCTAAAATAAACAAACTTTAACCTTTCCCTTGCCGCGCCCGCCATAACAAAAAACAGAGCTTTGTACGGCCTCTGTCGTCACCTCAGCTGGCGGCACTTGTTATAAACACTTATGTTTCTCACGACCTTTCGTTTATGTTTAAAGAGGTTTTAGTTACAGTTATTTGAAGCCGATAAGATTTTTGATAAGTAGAAACAATAACCATAACATATAAATGTTTATTTTACTTTGTACAGCTCTTTGTTTCTAACCGATCTTGATAAAGTGTACTTACTGACGATAAATTTTATTTTATGAATGAAACATCGTAAGTTTTATTTTATTTTTATGTCCTTACAATCAATACAACATATTCTTCCTAAATGAACCGAAATTATGCATGTAATAATTATAATAATTCTACTTTTTCACTTGCAAACATTTGCTAAAAATTCGACAATAGACAGTTAGCGCTTGCTTTGAAAATGAGTTTACACTTACTTTTTACTTTACTATTTACTTTTTGTGTATATATTTTATATCGTCTTCCTTTATTTTTCTTATACAATCATATAGATATAACATTTAGCAATTCCTAGTCAAAGTATTTACTGTGGTATTCCAATAAGAAATATACTATTATTATTTTATTAGAATCTTATTAGAAATCTTGACCGTTATGAATTGTTCGCGTAGAGGTTTTATATTTCTACTTTTTTATCAATTGAAACATAAAAAGTTACTGTTGTTGTAACTTAAATCATTCAAAAACATTACGTAGTAAAGATAAATAACATTACTTATAGTTTTTTTTTGAAAGAAAATCCAACTAAAATCACAATCACAAAACTTCAACGATTACGCAACTAACCGTACCGGTATGCAAAGGCGAATGGCTGTTATATTTGATTTTGTCTATGTAACCGAGTGAATATAATTCTTCAGAATATTCTTTAGTTCGTTCACAATCGAATGAAATAGCGTTCAATCGAAAATATACTGTATTTTTATATCAATTAATGACGAAAATAGCAGCACGTAATGCGGACATGTATACATGTCCTCAGTACTCAGCGGTCACAAAACGTGGACATGTTAACATGTCCACGGTACCTTAAGGGTTAACCACTAGTCAGCAATGCCATAACAGGACCCAGCTCTTAAGCATATCTTTGCTCTAGATCTCACTCTGTGCTGAGTTTGCATGGGACATAAGGAAACGGAAGCTCACATTTTATTTGACTGATCAGCAGTTGCAAGCTTCAAAACTGTGTACCTCCGATCACTAAGGACATTGGTAAAATTAAGAATAAGCATAGATCCATGGGTGGCTCGATAATATAGTGCTTAATAAATATATAATGAGCTTAAACACGGAGTTTGCAATTATATACAGATTCTCAATTCTTTGACATAAGTATTAGTGATTTATAAATAGTTTTTGGTAAGGTGTTATCAACTGCATGCATCAAAACCTTTTTTTACACACATAATCTAAATAGATACGAATTACTTTTATAGCATACACAGTACGTTTTTGTACAAAATGACACTTACCGGTCCCTATCCCTTGACCTGGAAACTCTATCCCTGTGTTCTCTATCCCGTGACATCCTATCTCTTTCAATCTCGCGTGGGACACGCAGTCTTTCTCTCTCGCGATCGTGCTCTCTGTCGCGCACTGGTACGGGTGATCTCGATCTATACAAAAAATGTAAATTATTAGTATCATTTTTATGTAACACTGCAACAGATTAAAGTTTTCAGAGAAAGTTAACAGAGAACGTACAACCAGAGATATTTTTACAGATAAAAATACACTTTATTATTCAATATCTATGTAACTATAATCTTTCTTTTATTACACCTTATCCAAATGCCACTACTGAACATAGGTCTCTCCATAGATTACCTCATAGGGGGATATATTTGCTATAGTTGCCGTAGTACTACTATACTATTTGGTAGGTGGATTCATAGAATACTATAATACATACATAATAGAACGGGGGAGTGGGCGGAGCCCGTGTAGCCACTAAAATGTCAATTCACACGTAATGTCAACACGAGATGTGTTTTGACGTTACAATCGTTTCCAAATTTCGCATGCAAATTATTTAAAAAACGCCAATTTGCACCCTATTTACAAATAAATATGTATTAAAATTTAAACGATTTTTTTTTAATGATGGTCTTGAACATTAATCAAAAGTCTAAAATGTTTAAATTTATTCAGTCTGCCAACACAGCGAATCGGGTTTGGCGACGCCAATCCTCGTACAAAGTAAAGTTGACAGCCATTCTATTGTGTATTATAGTAGTATTCTATGGGTGGATTGCTTACTTCAGTTTTTTGTAACTTAAATTTTTTCGACACGGCACTGATGCTTATCTTTTATTTCGTTTCCCTCTGTGACCTCCTACAACATCAACAGGATGACATGAGCAAGGCGGTTCGCTTACATCACCACTATACGGCGAACTTGATTTGTTACTCATTTTAAATACGGCTAGACGAAAATAAGTAACTGATTTGAGAGGTTCAAGCAACAAATTTTTATACGTGGTAGAGCCATGCTGCAGTTATATTAGTAGTATAGTTGTAGCACGAACGGGTCGGCTCGACCGGGGAAGGACCACGCTCTCACGGAATACCAGCGTAATATAGTAACTTAATGCTGCTGTGTTTCGTATGGTCAGTGTAGAGAACCGGAGACCCTTTTTACTGGAAACGGGGCATTCCATCTTAGTCCATACGGGTGACAACGCATTTAAATTTTGATTTGTAATCGAGGATAGATGTGGGTGTCTATGGGCCACAGCAATCACTTACCATCAGGTGGACTGTGTGCTCGTTTGTCACCCTGTCCTATATAAAAAAAAACAACAAATAACTGAACAGTATGTTTTGAGACTAACCTAGACCGGCTAGACTGTCTCTCCAGTGCAGCTGACGGTGGACTCCTGTTCCTGTAACGACCGCGCGGCGACGGTGACCGTGATGAAGGCCGTCTTAAAAATCATAGTTAAATATTATGCTTATACGATGTGATACGACCTGATGAAATATAGTCAATTAATCTTTGAAGTATTTATGATTATATTAGCAAACTTCACAACTTTAAAGGGCCTTTTATGAAATGATCTAGATATTAAAGATATTTTTTATTTTATTCTCTGTCTCTTATTAACATTCAAAGTTAGCCTGCAACTATTAAGTTCAGATCAAACTTACACCACAATACAGCTAAATTTATAGTTAAATGAATTTTTAATCTATGCTGTTGTATGGGCAGTTCATTTCAAGCTTTGTGAAAACACTAGCTAACATGTGATGCAAAACTTTGTGAAGAAACCAGCTTGCCCGAGAAATAAAATATACCCTTTATCAGCACTGAAGTAGCATGTGGGACTAATGGCCAAATATTCAAATTCTGCTCAATTTTATTTTTTGCAAAATTTTGCTCAATTAAATTGACATTGTTAAGTCTTGTGGTGTCAGTCAATTTGAACTAAGCTGATAGCATGAGACTTAACGAGGCCTGTGCCCAGCAGTAGGACTTAGATAGATTGTAATTATATCAAAAAAGGTTCTCCATGGAGATAAATAGTAAAATTAACACGAACATAAATTTAAAATAAATCTAATACTAAGTCTTTTTACAAAAAAGTATAATTATTCTCAGGATTAAACTGTTTAAATGAAGAAGTTTCATGGAAAATATGTAAACTAAAATATACGGAATTTGACAGCATATGTATAATTTACTAAGGGACTTCTTTCAAAAGAATTTTTAAACCTGAGATTGTTTATAAAACACATCAAAAATGAGTAATTTACTTAAAAAATAAAAAGTAAAATTAATAAAATAATATGTAGGGCGGTCTGTTTCGAGCTGTAGTAATGGTGAATAAAATATTATAAACTGATGCCGTAGAATGTTTCAATTGCAAACAAATGGTTATTATGAAGGTTAGTTTTTATTGTTAATTCATATAAGATGCTTTGTGTACATTTTTTAATGAAACAATGTAGTATATAAAGAAATTTTATTGAATAACCTTCACTGCAAACATAAAAGATAGCTGCTGCAAGTAATTTGTTTTTTGAGATGTTGCTGTCCTCATATAATGAAGCTAGACCACCAAGAGAAACAATTGCAAATGTAACTTATTATATCTTTGAAAAATTATAGAACAAGACAGATTTTTCTGTGAGAAAGCCGACTGCAGCATATGTTTATTGCTTGCATTGTACACCAAAGACTTCTATGTATACTAATTAGACACGATCTCGTGCGCGAGCATGTAGCTGGCACGGTAAACATGTCACGCATTTGTATTTTCATTTACGATAGTTTTACGATAGCACATAAACAATCTTACTAATCCAGATTAGTAAGCTGAAGTGGCAATGGGCCGACTATATAGCTCGAAGAACCGATAACCGATGGGGAAGAAAGGTTCTCGAGTGGCAGTCTCGTAGCGGTAGGCGTAGTGTAGGGCGACCCCCCACTAGATGGAGTGACGACCTAGACTAGGTGAGCAAGATATGCAGGAAGTCGATGGATGCAGGTGGCTCAGGACGGTGCTTTGTGGCATTACTTGGGGCAGGCCTATGTTCAGCAGTGGACGTGTGAAGGGCTGTAATGATGATGATGATGATGACATAAACAAGGACAGCGTTTTTTTAGTAACGTTAAAACAAAGTGCGTTTGCAAAAAAAGCATAACAAAATATTAAGCGTAATAATTCTCTTTGCCTAACCTAATTTAAATATATGTTTGTAAAGTATTCATATTAAAAACTTGCCAATCATGAATTTTTAATAACATTATATATTTATTCATATCATTATATTACTTAAAACTATATTGCAAAAACAACTTTTACTTTTTCAAAAAAATTATTTTTTTTCGCTCTGCAAACCTTCAGTGTTACATTGGCGAAAACAATGTTCGCGTTTTAGAAAACAAAAAAACTAGTCTTCTCGCCCGCTCACAGTCGACTAAAGTAGCTACGAAGAATTGAACGTAACTTAGTGCGCAATGTAGTTAGGCCGCAGTGCTCGTCTAGTAGTACACATAGAGGTCTTTGCAATACCCAGATTGTTAGTATGTGTTAGTGATGTTACCTCTTGTCGTACCTCCGTGCGTCAATGGCGTGGGGGGCGTGGGTCGCGTGGGGCACGTGGGGAGCGTGCGCCACGTGGTCTGGCTCTCGTGGGTGCCGCCGAGGTCTCGCACGCCTCTCCCACGATCGCGAACGTCTGCGACGTCGTTCTTCTTTATCGCGGGCCTGGAGTTCGGATTATTATAATCATAACATTTCGATAGTTAATAGAATATAAAATAATAACGTTACTTTACAAGAGCCGTGATAGCTCACATGGTTAGCACCCGCTGTAAATTTCACAGTTCGCGAGCAAACCGGGTTCGATCCCCGCCGGCACCAATGAAATTGTTAATTGCAATTTTAAGTGCCGATTTACCACGTGCTTGGCGGTGAAGGAAAACATTGTGAGGAAACCTGCATGTCAGAGAAATAAGAAAAAAATTTTTTGAAGACATGTGAAGTTCGTCAACACGCATTGGGGCAGCGCGGCGGACAATTCCTTACCCTAAAACCCTCTCAGAAATGAGCGGAGGCGTGTGCCCAGCAGTGGGACATACATAGGCTGTAACTTTTTTAACTTTTAACGTTACTTTGCGGATATCCATTATATTAAAGGTGTTAAAAATTAATTAGCTAAGATCTGCGTGAAAAATTAATGACTTGGCGGTTAGTTAAAATAATATTGTTATAACATGCACTGTCTTATGTTGACGGTCAAAGAGAATCTATCAGCCGATTTCGTACAGTGGGTCTTATAAGAGACTTATAGTAAATGCCAGAAATATCTTATGGCCTCCAATAGATGGCATTATAGCAATTTGTTTATGCTAGACGTTAAATACTCAGACATATAAAGGGCGTTCAAGCGACAATTTTTAAACAATTATCTAAGTGAATAAAATGCAGCAAGTTGCTACATGTATCTTACATTATAAACTTTCTAATAAAACAAAGAGTAGTTCTCCTACAAATCCTATGATACGTGCAACACACTACAGAGAACAATATCTATGCGTAAATCCTCACAATCGTTACGGCTTTGAAAATTATACCCTTTCGTCGTATTGCACATTCCCTTTTGCTAGATTACGAAAGCTCAGTATAAGACATTACTATCGCCTACTAGTTTTATTATTCAAACGTTTTCAATACATTTAAAAAGGGAAGACGTTATTAAAATGACTATATTCTTAATCCATGTAAGATGATACATCGGCGGCTGATTTACCGATTTAGCTGAATTTTTATTTACTACTAACCTACTAATACTAGTAACCTCAGCTTATTATTTTACTTACTTACTTATCTTCACGCACAATCCCTAACGGGGTATCCAGAGAGAACAGATCGCCAAGTGTCACTATCCTTACATACCTCTTTCGCTTCTTTCAGGTTCATTAACTTCTTCATACATGCATGTCTAGGTATCCGAGTACTCTTGACCTTCCCCTCTTCGAGCAATTTGCTCACATGGTCTTCGAAAGTTAGTCTCGGTCTACCTCGACACCTTTTAATATTTACTTTCGCTCTATATATTTTCTTCACCATTCGGTCTTCACTCATTCGCTCAACGTGCCCAAGCCATTGGAGTACGCCCCTATCAATTTTTGTGATAAGGTCATCTTTCAATCCTGCCATATTGCGAATCTCTTCGTTTCGCTTTCGATCGGCTATGGTAACGCCACACATTATACGAAGAGATCGCATCTCCACTGCATTCAACTTGCTTTTATGCTTCTTCTGGCATACCCACGTTTCGCTGCCATATAACAAAGTCGGTACCAACACTGCGTTATGTATTGCAAGGCGTGCACTCTTCACTACGTCTTGCCTTTTGATTAATGCATTCAGGGCACCATTGACTTTGTTTCCGGCAGCGACGCGCCTATCCACATCTAAATCACATCTTCCATCCCGGCTGAAAGCACTCCCCAAGTATACAATTTCATTTACCTGTTCTAGACATTCCTGATTTACCCATATTTCACATTTCGTTCTCTCTTCGTCCTTTTCAAATACCAGAACCTTAGTTTTATTAGCATTCAAACGGAGACCTTTAATTTCACATTCCTCTTTCATACACATGACTAATGCCTGCAGTTCTGCTTCTGATGGTGCAATAAGCACTGCATCATCAGCATACAACAGACAATTTACTTTAATGTCACCCAATTTCACACCCAAACAGCTATTTTTCAGCTTCTGTAAACAGCTGTCGAGATACAGTATGAACAGCCAGGAAGACATGACACAACCCTGTTTTACGCCCGCTTGGACGCTAAACATGGGTGACAGGTCATGCCCTACCCGCACACAGGCTTTACAGTCATAGTAAAGTGACTGCACAGCCCCTTCCCACATTTTCTTCCTTATAACCTTATCAAATGCTTTCTCCAGATCCACAAAAGCACAGAAAATCCTCTGGTTAACACTCAGAAGCTTTTCCGTGATGATGCGGAGAGAAAACATTTGATCCGTGCATCCTCTTCCAGGTCTAAATCCTATAATATTATTTTTTTAGTTTGTTATTAGGAAGGTGCTCTCCTATTATAGTTCGTTTCACTCTGTCGCCCCTTCTGACAAGTACAAGATATGGGATAGTGGATATTCTTACATCCCCACTATACTGTAGTGACCGCTCATGTATTATCATTAAAATAATATTTTGAAATAGTTTTTAAAATAATATTTTGATTTGATTTTGATAAAATAGAATTTTATATAATAAATTACACCAAAAATTGTCTATTTATGAAGTCAACAGATGGTCATGTAAAAATAGACTTGTGGAATATCTTCAGACTCTTTCATACACAGATACTGAACAATTACTCCAAATTATCTCATAAATATTCACAGACATACATGCAGACATGCTAACAGTCACAAACTCTCATACTTACGCTACAAAAATACGTGGATTTTTTGTTTTATATTTTTTATATTTTATTTCTATGTATCCAAACTGATAAATCGCTCTATATGATATTATTCCTAACCATAACATAAGTGATCTCTGTATAATATTATACTCATTGCCAAGTAAATTCAGGGGGCTGGTGACTTGTAATACGGGTCTTTGAACCTACACGGGCACCAGTCTTCCATGAATGACATAATATTGTTAAAATAGAGATGTAACACTAATGTGTATGGAAGATCCATGTCGTTTGTGGTGAGAAATAAATAAATTATTATTATTATACTATTAAATTTCCATGACAAAGAGGAATGCCTATTTTATCTAAACATTTCGCATTCAATCACATTTAAGGTTGTAAATAGAAAATTTTTTAAAATTATTTAGCCTTGCATATTAAATATAACTCACAGAGTCGCTCCTGCGGTCTCGTCTCCGTGGTGGTTGGTCTACTGGCTCCTCAAGTAACTCAGTCAATGGCAAAACCTAAAAACGCACAGAAATAACTAATAATGATATTCAGTTGTACTTAAATGAATGACAACTACATAATATATACAAATATAAAATAAAATGATAATAGTTGTTTAAACATAATCCACAATAATAATTAAATTTGTTCAATTGATTGAAGATTTAGCAGTTGTTGTCAAGTGAATCATGAGGGTATCTGCATGGCAAAACATTTGAAAAATAGGTTTTTTACAGATCTGTTGCTGTGCCTGAACGACCAAGCTCGGCAACCGAAAGAGACCACTGTAGCTCAGGCTGATTACACCTCCGAAAATTAGACGAATTTATCATCCATGTAGCCATATTTCCTGTTCCAAAAATTTTTCAAGAACAAGATCAGAAGGATTTATGTTTGCTGAATTTGAATGCTGGATGTCTCTAGACGAGAATAATGGCGGTACAACTGGATAGTTCCAGTATTTTTAGTTCTTAAAATAATAATTATACGGAAAAAAAGGCAAAACAGAGGAAACACTTCTTTATTATTTTAAAAATGTTACTCCATACTAGGATTTTCTCCTGCATCATGTAGGCATTTTATATACATTAATTGCACAAGGACAATAATCCAGACCAGGAACAATTTATAGGCCATACAAATATAAACTCATATAATAAATAGACTCAAAATGACTTATTGACCGAACCTCGAGCGATCGCAGCGCCTCACTTATGGTGTCCAAATTTTTGGACACTATTTTCTACGGTGATCGTTCTCCTGTTCTCTAACCTTCATGGAAGCTTCCTTACCGTGAGTTTGCACTGACGAGATTTTCACAAAAAAACGTGTTTAAGACACTATTTTCCGACAATGTATCAAATCGCGTTTGCATAGTCAGGGAACATGTGGTAGTGAAATATGTTTGACAGTTTATTGTACAAAACCCATTTTAACTATACTTATAATACAGTTAAACATCGAAATCCGGTAAGTCCCACCACTACTCAAAATTAAACTATATTTTTTTTATAGGATAGGGTGACAAACGAGCACACAGTCCACCAGATGGTAAGTGGTTACTCCGGCTCATAAATATCTACATCTATCCTCGCCTACGAATCAAAATGCAGATGCATTGTCACCCATGAGAACTAAGATGGAATGCCTCGTTTCCAGTAAAAAGGGTCTCCGGCTCTCTACGCTCACCATACAAAACAGCAGCATTAAGCTACTATTTTACACTGGTATTCTGTGAGAGCGTGGTCCTTCCCTGGTCTGGTCTGGTGAGCCGACCCATTTGTGCTACAACTATACTACTAACAATTGCAGCATGGCTCTACCACATATAAAATGAAACTGGATGATAGAATAAAATGCATTTAAACTTATGCCAAGTGATAGTGCCAGAAAATATGTTTTATAGTATGAAGTGACTTTAGTTTAGCGAAGACTAAAGGCCTCCAATAGATGATAATATAACATAACATAAAATTTGTGTGGGGAATACAATCTATCAATGTATTCTTTATTGTACAGCAATAAACCAAAGAATATGAAACATATAAAGACGACACTGAATGTTTCACTCAGTGGGGAGACATGCAAAAGGTTTATTGGTGATCTTTATGTGTTGATTTTATCTAAAATGAAAAAGTTCTGCTGGGTTTCTTGCTGGTTCTTCCCAGAACAGTGATTATTTCCGAACCAGTGGTAAAGCTTAAATGACTTTTAATAATCTATATTGCTATATTGAATAAAAATGATTCTATTCTATTCTATACTATTTGTTGCAAGTCCATTTATTTTTAATAAAGATGGCGGTGTAGTGTTACCTTGACAAGGGTATGCTCCTGATGTGGCGCACGAGCGCGAGGCAGCACAAGGCGATGGCGCGGTGCCTCGGCTGCCACTGCGGGCGCCGCGTTCGCCGCACTCGCTCCCGACGGGGACTTCGCCCCAGGAGCTGATGCAGTCGTTGCAGCCGTCGCAGGCGCCGCTGTTCATATTATTATTGTTTTATAGAAGCGTCACACACACACACACACACACACACACACACACACACAAAAACGCGACCGCGCTCGCGCACACGCAAGCACGCAACAAGACGCACCCACGCACACAGAGTCCACTTGTTAGTAATAATAGTAGTGTCCTCCAGACAAAATTTCGGTCACGGCGGCCAGTTTCAAGTCACTCTCAAGTCACTAGCCATCTGGATTATTAGTGCCTTAATATGTGCGCGAACACAGAATCATTCTCTATTCCCTCACTGTTATAGCCTGATGAGACAGCAATTCTGTGTTTTACGAGGCATGGGGGACAGAAGTGCTTTCATAAGCACAGCACATAACTTTTGAACTCCGGGCTATTACTGAGAATTTCTCGACAGAAATGTCAGTAATTGATTTTGGCCCGAACAATCGCGTTTACGACCACTACGCCAATGAGGTAGTCACTTGTAAGTAAGTTGACGCTGTGGTCCATATCCATAGATACACAGCATCTATCCTCGATCAAGAATCGAAATGCAGATGCATTGTCATTTTTAAGAACTCAAATAGAAAGAAAAAAAACCACTTAATTTAGGGACAAACCCTTGACATAGGTCATCGGGCAATACAAACTATCGTCCTGTTTAATTTATAAAAGAGAATTGTGTTGCATGCAACCAGCAGCGATTGTGTAACCTCTGATGGAAATCCCGGTTACTCCATTTTGTCATTTTCAAAGGAGACAATCAATTTTTCTATGGAGAATGGGCCCACTACACATTTTAAAGATTATCAAAGAAATGCATGCCGATTTATTCCTTATAATCCATAGATTACAATAAAATTATTAGTTTTACTGCATCTAAACGGAGTCCTGAGAAATTAACAAATAAAATATGAATCTAACAATAACCTAAAAACAAACTGAAAGCGATTTTCTGGTAGTATTCATCGGTATTATAAGTTAAAATAGTGCACACTTGAATAATAGTACATAAAAACTAAGCTGTAGATATATTCATCATTTATAAATATTTTAAAATCGATGTAAAACCTTTCATTAGTTCCGGCAAAACATAGTGCCTGTCTATGCACAAATGTCGTATGGATTCTAAGTTTGACATGTATTGATTGATTGTGAGTGTAATTCTAAATACCAAGATGGCTAAGGGATAATGTCTATTTATATTTATGATATTACCAACACACAGTAAGACGTTTTAAACTGGTTGTATTACAAAAAACAAAATATAATGTAGTTAATTCTATTTATTATTGTAAATCATAATTTATTTAAGTATTCTATTAACAGTAGTAGGTACAGAAACAGAAACCTTTTATTCAATTTAGATTATAAATAATACTTATTGAGTCACTTTTTTAATTTACCACTGGTTGGGAAAAAACCTCCGACTTGAAGAGAACCAGCAAAATACCCAGTGGGTCTTTAAAAAAAAGCCAGCTTACAATCATGTATGTCATAATTAACAACACAGAACAAATTAGAAATAGCTTGGTAGCGATCACCTTACCCACGGGTTATTGTCAGCCATAAATTCCTTTATACTATAATAACCCCTTTTATACAAACTTAATTTAATAAATTTTTTGAACTTTGATGATTGACTGACATATATAGACAGGAGCGGTGTCAAGACATTGTTTTAATATGTTTTGGTTGATTAGTAAGTAGTATACATCATAATAAAATGACTAGGAATTAACATGCCTTATCTATGTTATTACACAATGATAAATAGTGAGGAAGTAAGATGTTTTAAACTGTTTGTGTAAGGATTACAAAAACACAGGCTTAATTTAAATGTATTTATTACTAGCGATGCGGCTCAGCTGCAGCACTGGTGATTTATGGATCTCGACAACAGTGCCATCTACCGGGTCCAAATGTAAATATAAACCATCTAGGGATCCATCCAAATACACACAAACATTTTCATTGACATTGGTTGGTTTCTTATGTTTTGTCTATAATGGACATAGGTAGAAACATTTTAGTGTTAGATATATTTCTGAAGGTTTTTTGATATTTTTGATGAAAATAACTTGATGGTAACATGTACATTTATGATATTGTAAGCAATCAGAAGGAATTTTCAATTATAAGAGATATGATATAAGACTGTTGTCTTCAATATCCATACACTTTTTGTCTCTGCAAGCTTTCAGCCTGCACGGCATACAGATTTGTTCTAAGCGATCCACCTGAAAAGAAGTTAATGACAATTCTAAAGATGTCTAACTAAATAATAATTCTTATCAATATATTATTTTTTTCTATATTTTATATGAATTAAAAGGACATTTTTAATAATAAGAGATATGAGATAAGACTATGCCTTCAATGTCAATAAACTGTATTTACATATTTCTGTAAGCATTTTCTTGTATCTGCCTTTTCATATGTTAAATAATAAAGAAATTATTATAAACTATACAGCATTAATCAGCTCCAGCTGATCAAATACAGGAGCAGTAATTACTGATCAACATCTATGATATTGAACCATGTAAAAGTTGTCTCACATTTTATTTTTACTGGTTTCATGTACATAGGAGACAAAGATATTATTGTTATATTAAGTATATCTGATTCTAGATGACAAAATAATATTCCTTTCTGCACAGTGAACAACACAGCTGTCTAAGCATAATAGATACAACCATTACACTTTTTTTATGCAAACTATTATTATTAAACTTTATATTTGCTTCTAGTACAAATAATTACTACATTTTTTACACATAAATATATTATGTAACATTTATATTGCCTATCTACTATGGCTGGTATAAATCCAGGATCTGTGTCTGGCTTAACAAAAAAGCCATTTAGTATTAAGCAACTTGCTGAATACATAAGGTACCTATTTGTACACAAATGTAGTTATATGAATTGCTCTTCAAAACCCTCTTTAAGTCCCTCCCAAAGATTCTAATTTTCTTTTAACATTATAATAAATTATTTTGTGAATTTATTCTATTTATTATGTATTTAATTTAGATTTTACTAATAAAATAAACTTAATACTTTGTCACTTTTAACAAACTAATAAGGTTCTAAGACCTGTTTATTATTTGTATTTATTTTGTTTTAGGAAAAATATACAAACTTAATAATAGATTTTCACAACCTAGAATAGGTGTAAATTAATAAACTCTTATATTCTATTTGCGAATTTTACCACAAAAACTATAAATAGAAAAACATACATACTTGTGTCAATTAATATTTGGCTAACCTTTCTGATAATTGATAATATCCATATTTTCTTAAACATTAGTTTAATAATGCTTGTAAATAAAAACTCCATTTTGTTCTTACCATAATGATGCGACTCCAACTATGTTTTATTTCACCCGAGTGAATCGAGTGAATTTGTCCAACTCGATAATCGATAGAAAATAAATTTTACCGAGTTACCGAGTTAACTCGGCGCATCGTATAGATTCAGAGGGTGCTATATAGATATTACTTCACTAATTTACTTGTATATATAATAAGTCGCTGCAGGTGACATCACAATCACAAGTTGCATTCAAATTCAAACTTGCATCTGGCATGTTGTAAACAAACCTGAATTTAGTTTTATTTATGATATTGATTTATAGTTTTAATTTCACATATTACTTATTTATGAAGGTACATATTTAAAAATTGTTTAACTAAAGTAATCGCTACTCTCAACTCTAGTGATAAACTTTTCTGTAAATAGTTGATTTACTCAAAAACTAGTGTACAACTAGAATGACATACATACATACTCGTAAATTAACCCGAGTGGCTCGAGTCACAAAACTCTACTCGAATCGCATCTTTATCTTACGGCCAATGCAGTGTTTGTCTACAATTTAGTGATTAAATCGACTTACTAATTCGAGCAATTTATTGATATATTATGTAATAAATAAATTGATATTATGTAATATGTATATAATGTTGTATCAATTTATGTTATTCATAATATAAATTGATTATATATACTTTGGATAGTCAAATTATTAATAACATTAAGACTTACGTCATAACAGAGTGATATTATTTTATGAAGATGTCGATAGGCATACCAAAAATAATATATAACTACCTATTAAGTGTAGTAATAATAATTGTGTTGTATGGAAGAAATATTATAAAAATAATTTGTGACATATTGACACAGCTTCGTTCATCTAATTTGAATTGTTTAACTTTCGAGCTCAAAATCGAGTTACCTGAATTTCAACTCGATTCGATTTTTTCCGAGTTATCACGGCACATCTCTAAGACAATAATTTTTTAAATATTACATTACCTTAGCCAATGATCAGAACATGAATGTCGGAACAACTAATTTTTTTTTCAGATTTCTTGTTTCCGTTTACATTTTCGAAAAATCTATAGACCATTTACTATTATAATTTGGTGTCATTTTTTGGTGTAAATACCATTAAACGACGTAATATTTCTAGTGGGCCCAAAAATGATTGTCTCCTTTGGTTTTATTGTCTAAATACGTTCGTATCTTTACATAGTATAAAACAAAGTAGCTTCCCGCCGTCTGTACGCTTAGATCTTTTAAACTACGCAACAGATTTTGATGCGGTTTTAATCAATAGACAGAATGATTCAAGAGGAAGGTTTATATGTATAATACATGCACATGTTGTTGAAATCCAAAACTCACCCATGCGAAGTCGGGACGGAGCGCTAGTGGATTATAAGGGGATGTTTTTATATTAATTACTTGTTTCATTATATAAAATAAATATTATCGAAATGAAAAAACATAACACAGTTGAGGAGTAATCCGAACTGAAAAGTATTCCCATCAAAGTTACACCACCACAATGCTGGTCAATAATCATCAGATCTAGTCGATTCATATGTGAATAAGATGCAAATAGAAATAAAAGTTTTAAACAATTCTAAATTCGACTGAACATTGTTAAATACAGTTAAATGCGTAAGTTAAATTTACATTGGTAGTAGGATTCGACGATGTAGGAGGTAATAACACTTTTATTAGGATACAAGCTAAAATCAGTTGCCACTAGACCATCGCGAAGTGGAAAAAAAAACTAAATTTGGAGTACACACTTTTAAATTAAATCTGGATTTTCGATGTATTTTCGTCATCAAGCGGGAGATTTTTCTTGGCGGGAGTGCAGTCACTAAACTAAACACTTAAAATACATTATGCGAAATCACACGCTTTAATTTTTTACTATATAACAAGTTTTATATATTCATGTATGATAGTGAATGTTGAGTATTGCGTGAAAAAACTTATAAATGGCCCACGCTTGGCTTATGAATACTCTTATATTTCAAAATATAAATAGATGTATTTGCAGTGCTGCTTTAACACTGGTCAATGGACATGCAAGTTTCCATAAATTTCCTTCCTGGCTAAATAAACATTACATTTGCCGCACAGAAAATTATTTGTTTAACTCTATTGTATATTTTTGACCCGATTTTGTAACCCCTACATTTTAAATTTACGTTGTTGTTGTTTAATGGATAAATTATGAAAATAGAAATAAATAATATATTATTACTTGCAATTAACGTGACAGTAGCAAAAATCTCTAACTAATGAACATTTAGTTGCATGACTAGCACAACTTAACATTGGAATATGATAACTGTTCATTTTTATAGTTATCCGTAAGTGTTAACTATTGTAGAAAGTCAACTTTGCTAAGGCCAGTGGTTTCCTATGAGCTTACTATTCAAGTTGCCAACAATGCAAAAATCTATGCAGTATTATTCGATGAACTGAATAATCCACATTTGCTTCCTTTAGCTTGAAAAGAAACTTGAGCTAATAATATATTGCCTATGGCCACTATAGGGCCGGAACCAATAATACCAATCCCCTTTGGCTATGTTCATTCACTGGTATGTAGAAACTTCAATAATTTACACGCTCAACTTTGGAAAAATTTAGAAGACTGTAAATAAGCTAGGGAGGCCCTGCCTGAAATAAACAGTTGCCTAAGCAAGTTTCTAATGAGACTGAACAAGCCACAGATCAGGATAGTAACAAGTGCTATCACAGGACATGGCTCTTTTAACAAACATTTGTTTACCATAGGTGTTACAGATTGCCCCCTGTGCAGGGCATGCATGGTGGAAGAAGAAACGGCAGCTCACATGTTGCCGACATGTCCGGAGGTCGTTTCATACAGGGCTAAACATCTCGGCACACTGGGATCGCTTCCCAAAGTTGCTTGCAATATCAAAGGACTGTTGAACTTCTTTGGGGAGATTCCATGGCTCGAATAATGCCCACATGCAAAATACGCACTTAGACGTAGACGGAAAACAGCCCGTCGTAAACTAAACTAACTAATATAATGCCAGTGATGAATTATGCACTCACGCTGCTCTTCACTGTCTGGTTGTTTGTCGTTCTCGCTCGGTTGTGGCGGCGGACTGGGCTGCTTCTCTGCATTTGGCTTCAAGTACTCTTGGCTTTCCAGTGATTTGAACAGCATGTCAACAAAGGGCTTTGTCTCTGTTGAAAATAAATTGATCAAACATAAAAATAGATTATTAAATAAAACACAGTACTCAATTTAAATTACATCCAACACTATTTTTTTATCAGATAGTAAATGGTGACAAAGGTCATGGCTGGAAAACACATAAGACTTGAGAATTCTTTTTCACTTAGGCTTATTTTGCATGAATATCAAAGGACTTAGTTTCAAACTAAACAATACTCCATTCCAAGCGGAACAGTGCTTGCATGAGCGAAAAATTATGAGTTATTACAGTTAAACATATGAAGTCATATTTTTTATCATGCTATGATAAAATACACGATACACAAATTTTTCAGTAATTATTTAATGACATTTTAAAATATTACGACACTGTTGATAAAGTTATAATTAACAATGTTTTAAAATTTTTCAATTTAAGTTATTATAGTCTAACTAATCTTTACCTACTACCCTACTAGGTACCTTTCCAATGGCTAAGCAAATATTGGGTTGGAGAGAATTGAAATTTTTGAGGTCCGAAATTTACATTAACAGCTCAAAGTAGGGCCTGATCACAGGTAAGGTATTAGATTATGTTACCAGCATAAATGCTATATTTTAAATACAAACAGAAAGCGGTTAAAATTCACCAATACTCTACTGGTATAAAATAATAGTAGCGCTATTTTTAAGGTTTTCGTTATATCACATAAACAATAAAAGTTTATTTTACAACTTATGCATAGAACCTTTATTTAATAAATATGGTCACCTGAGGCAAGTGTGACAGTGGGGCAAGTGTAACAAATGCAAAATATGCGGCCTAAGCAGGTTTTTTGATTAAATTCCATTTATTGATCAGCATAGAAACTTTTACACTATTGACTATATCGACAGTTAAGCACATAGCTTCATCTATATTATCGTCAGATGTAATTTTTAAGAACTACTCAACTGACTTTTGTTAAACAAATAAGTGATATTTTTTTCTTTTAAATTAAACGAAATAATACAACTACCAAACATTATGGTTATATTATTATTGTTTGTAAACATTTATGATTTAAAGATATTTTTCACTTGGCACTCTTTTTAACACACTGAAAACATTTGGTGCCAGTGTGACATAAATCCATTTAAAAGCACACCAATATAGCAGGCAATGGATAAAGTTATCGGTTAAAAACAGTCACAACTGTCCCATGTGGGGAAAAATTCATTGTTACTTAAAAATGGATGTTCAAACTTTTCATAGATCATAAAATATATTGACATTAGTATTATTTCATCAATTTTGTTGAAAACCACAGATAATAATAAAGTAACTACAAAAATAAAATGATGGAGGAGGAAAAGATGATTAAACCGATGGTGAAAAAGGCTCTCAAGTGGCAGCCTCGTACCGGTAGGCATAGTGTAGGGCGACCCCCCACTAGATGGAGTGACGACCTGGTAAGACATGCAGGAATTCGATGGATGCAGGTGACTCAGGACTGTGCTTTGTGACATTCCTTGGGGAGACCTATGTTCAGCAGTGGGCTTGTGAAGGGCTGTAACAATTATGATGATGAACTGCAATTCTATGATGATTATTGTTAACTGCCTCAAATTACAAAATGCTACTTGTAGATACTAAAATGCTTGATCAAACAAACAACTATTTAATAATAGATGTTATGAAACTAAAACTACTTTTACAGGTTTTATAAAATTTAATATTTAAATTTTATAAAATCCGTAAAAGTAGTTTTAATCAATGTGTAGTGTTTGCGTAAATATAAGAAATCATTATGAAAAATAATTCTAATTAATTTACATCACACTTGACTCACGTGACCTCAGTAAAATTCCTCCCATTTAAGATTCAGGAGTGTGATGACAGAAATTACTCAATATAAAAGAATTGAAATAGGGTTTCAGGATGTTACTCAGTGATAGTTGCTACTTCCTTCATGCTATATTAGACCCTCAATATCAGTAATAAGAAAAGTTTCTTTCATCTAATTCATTCTTGAACTCACCATGCTGCAAGAAGACATCAAGTTGGTCCAGCATGCCTTCTCGTAGCTCGTCCAGCGGCTTGTCCTTCTTCACCAGGGCATACACGTATTTTGCCAGCGCCGCTGGGTCTGCATCGCATCTGTAACATGTTCCGGTTTGTAAGAGGGAAAAAGAAATGGCTAATTACATACAGAATATGGGATAAAACTATAGACATTCAGTACTTGAGAATGGGGGTGAAGAGATGGAGAGGAGGATTTGGGTGCAAGAGAAACCGCCTATATCCCTCCCCACATGCGAAAATGTATAGTTTATGAGTAATGATGTTTTTTGTAAAATCATATCCTCACTTTTTACAGATGAATATTGCTGCGTTACTTCTGTAATAGCTTCGGCGCTGCGGGAAGAGCAGCCTCTTCGCCCTTGCATAGCAAATTGCAGGTACCCATGCAAGCCATAGCGGCTGGGGCTGGTTGCCGAAGGCGACCAATAAGCCAAAGCTGGGGAGGCGAGCACTCACCGCACCCATGAGCGTGCTGGGGCTGCTCTTCCTACGCGCTTGTGGCTTTATAAAAACACTCTAACGGTAGAGCAGACAAGGCTATGTAGAGCCATATCCATAAGGTCAGGTTGCCCTAAACTGCTATGATAGTGGTAAATAAATCAATGTAATGTGAATTGTTATAATTTTTTCTGAAAAACCCCTTGACTGCTCTCCACTGCCGCTCAATTTGTTGTATATGAGTCCCATCTGGCATCAGCCACAAATGGATTGTCTGGGTTTGAGTCATTAACTTTTTTATGGGTGTATTTGTGTTAAAAAAGGTATTTCCAAAGTCCAAAAACAGTGTAAAAGGTTCAAGCTTAGCCTTGACAAACCTAAACAAAATACTATATATATACTAAATTGAAAACAAAATTAAAAAATCAAATACAGTACGTCTATTTAAAAAATACTAGACCAAATTAACATATTTGCGTTTCATTATAAGCAAATTTTAGGGAAATTTGTTTTTATCGTAATTAAATCAAAACTCATTTCCCAAATCCAAAATAGCATAAAAGGTTCAAGCTTAATCCTGACAAACATTCTAAATTGAAAATAAAATTAAAAAAATCAAGTACTGGATGTCTGCTTCATAATACTAGAACAAATTGATATATTAGCATTTTGTTATAAGCAATATTTGTGAAATTTGTTTTTATCATAATTAATTCAAAACAAATCTGCGACATCTAAAAACAGTGTAATAGGTTCAAGCTTAACCCTAACAAGCCCCCTTAAATAAAAACATCACTAAAATCAAATACCGGTCATCTATAGCCAACCCCAATAATACAGTATAGCATTTTACTGTTCAATTAAATATTTTGTTGAAATTTGGTGAATTTTTTGCGAAAAGCAGCCTTGGTTATAAGGACATAAAAATTTTATTCAAAATATTTAATAATCAAATAACAGCCAACTTCTAATACCAATTTTTCTACTATTGTATATATACATTATATACAATAGTAGAATGTGAATACTAAAGTAATCCTTAAATTATTAACCTAACCTAGGGTAGCATACATTCAATAAAACATACTATAAAATATAAGGAGAATGAATACAACCACAAGAAATATTATGATTTTAAATTGACATAAGATGGGATTTGAACCCGTAACTCTCAAATAACAGCACTGAACTGTTGTAACAAATGTATTACTTTCAAAGTTACTAAATAATATTAAGTAGAATTACATAATAGATAACATTATCAATATTGCAGTTGTAGTTATTGTAAATTAGTTGTTGGATCAGTACCATTAAAGTTTTATCTTTGTGACACTAATGTATTGAGTAATGTAGTTTCATTTAAATATTATGGTGTCAAAAGAAAATTTATAATATGAGGAACTAGATCAAAATGTATCTTTCCAACAATTTCAAGTCATAATTTAGTATTTAAAAACCACAGCCCTTTTCTTGAAACTGAAGAATTTTTGGCTATACCTAGCTCAATTATTATTAAAGTAAAGTTACAGCCTATATACGTCCCACTGCTGGGCACAGGCCTCCTCTCATTTCTGAGAGCCGTGGTAGCTCAGATGGTTAGCGCTCGCTATAATTTCACAATACGCGAGCAAACCGGGTTCGATCCCCGCCGGCACCAATGAAATTGTTAATTGCAATTTTAAGTGCTGATTTACCACATGCTCGGCGGTGAAGGAAAACATCGTGAGGAAACCTCCATGTCTAAGGAATAAGATAAAAAATATTTCGAAGAGATGTGAAGTTCTCCAACACGCATTGGGGCAGCGTGGCAGACTATTCCCTAAAACCCCAATTATTATTGATGATGTTCATATGTTGACAATGCTATTACTACATTGGATTTTGTATGATATATTATATATCCTCTTGAGACCCCCGGGTGTCACTCATGACACTTGCGTATTTATTTTTTTTCCCGCGCCATCTTTTGTTATGAGTGAAAACTACGACAGTTAAATGAAACATTATATTACGTATAATGTTTAAAAGGTGGCTGCGGCTCGCGCGAGAGTGTTTTTGTCTTCATAAATATTAGTTGAAGTTTGGAATTTGTGCAAGTATTGAAACGATGAATTACCGGAGAGGTAAATATTATTTTAAATATGTTTTTCCTCTGTCGGATTTTGCAAAAGATATTTCAAAATATTTCTATTTTGTCAATTATCTTCGACATTTTCTTCGAGTGTCACTGGTGACACTTTCGGCACTCATGATTTAAAATATTGATTTTTTCAGGATTGGCCGATGGTGACATTGAGTCGGCGTTGTTTAACTTTAACGAGCCAGATTTCGAAGACATTGATGATGAGGAGGAGGAAAACTTTTCTACAGTGCAGGAAGACATTCCTGAAGAAGTATTGCCCCGGTCACCTGATGGTAGTGAGTGGGAATCTTCAGACGAAGAGCCGCTTGTTTCACTACAGCGAGTTAGGAGATTAACAAATCGACCGCTGCAATGGGATCATACAAATAACTTTCAGAATTCTCCAAGCAATATTTATGAGGATCCACCATTAGTTGAACCAACAATCTGCAAACCTTCCCATGAATACTTTTGCCATTACATCAAACCTGAATTCTTTGAGCAAATGTCACACTGTACTAATATTTGCAGCACCCATAGAACTGGAAGATCTTTAAATACAAATTTAGAAGAAATGCGAACTTTTGTAGGCGTTTCAATGGTTATGGGTATGTTAGGGCTTCCTCGAATGCATATGTTCTGGGCTGCCGAAACCAGGGCAGCAATAGTCGCTAATGCAATAACACGGAATAGATTTTTTCAATTGAGAAGCAACATTAAAGTCGTTGACGATCAGCTAGTATCTCCTTCTATGAAAACTATGGATAGATTTTGGAAAATTCGTCCACTAGTTTCAACGATCGAAGCCGGCTGTAGACAAAACCAAAGATCCCAAAATATCGCCATAGATGAGCAAATTATACCATTTACAGGTAAATGTAAAATGAAGCAGGTCGTAAGGGGAAAACCGAATCCTGAAGAAATCAAAGTTTTTTTATTAGCGAATCCTAATGGCCTTCCTTTGGACTTGTATTTATATCAAGGAGGGGGAACCACTGTGGAGTCAGCACTTCATCCAATGCCAGAGAAACTTGATCTTGGCGGCCGAGTTGTGTTGAAACTCATAGACACCTTACCTAAACATTCTTCAATCTACATTGATAGATATTTTACCTCTATTCCCCTTCTTGAAATTTTATTAGTCAGAAACATTTATGCGACCGGTACTCTAAAGAAGGATCGAGTTCCTGAATATCGAAGGCCTAATAATAGAAACAGGAGTAAATCGTTGCTGAAAAGTGATAGATCACTAGTGAACGAGGGAAGAGGGAGTTTCGACTGTATCGTCAGGTAAGACAGGGCCATTGCTGTTGTTAAATGGCTAGACAGCAAACCTATACATCTTGCATCGATAGAAACTGCTGTTCCATGCTGAACCGTTGGGGACATGCCGGCAATGGAGTAAGAAGGAGCAGCAGTACATTGCCATTCCACAGCCAGTAGCGATCAAAAACTATAACCGGTACATGGGTGGAATTGACCTTTTGGATCGCATAATTGGCAAATACCCAATGCGCGGCCGAACAGGGAAGTGGATCGTTCGCGCTATTCTGCATTTTTTCGATTTTGCTGCAGCTGCTTCGTGGATTCAATATCGGGAAGATGCTGTCAAAAGTGGCCTTCCAAGAAAAGATATTAAACAATATCTGGACTTAAAAATGGAACTAATTATGGGATGTTTATAGAACCAAAACAGGAGCCTAACAACTATTATAGCTCACATTTTTGCAAATTACGAATACAACCAGTATTTTTTATCTGAATTTTATAATCAGAAAAGATTATTGAAATATTTTTTTTGAAGTTATATTCTTTTCCAGGGACAAATTGTTTTCGGAATTTACTTTAGGACAGGGTATCAATATAAAGATAGGACCTTTATAGTTAAGTTTTTATGAAAAATCTTAATTTTCAATAATATTTTACTATTTTCATAAACTACTTACTATCTCTTAACTATCCCATGCATAAAAATCTGTGAAATAGCTCTACTAAGACTGAATTGGTGGGATATAATATTAAGTTTTTAGTCGAAATGCTAATGAATTTGTCCACAAAACAAGTTGTAAGACTAATTTCAACCCAGTTTACAAAAATTATGATAATCACGTTATCAAAAAATAACTTTCTTCCTAATGAAAATCATCCTTATTTGTGTCAATGCACCACGCCAGTGAAACTAATTGCGATAAGTTATTACGAAACTGTAACTTGACACCTAATTATTTCTAATCTTAATATTCATATTTTTTTATACAATACCTAGAATTATCAGCATCCACAATTTTTATATGATGAATATTAAATCATTTACATTTATTTATAGAGATTACTGATAGAAATGGCTTCAAAAGTACTCACAAGGGTTCCAATATGGACGTCAACCATGATTTGAAAGCGTCAGGGTTTTCAATAATCATTTCGCACACGCACAGTAAATTAATGCGCTATATACGATAATCCATGAACTCAACACTTCTATCGTGTAGGATGCAACGTTCTTGTAAAAATTATTCTCAAGAAATTCGTAAATCTCGCACTCACAACTTACAACGTTTCACTATGGTTTACTATTTTTTCCTCTATGGTTTCACTTCACGTCTTTTTTACAGACTATCATATCATATTGGCAGTGTCGCCAACATAAAAATCCAGCTCCCGTTGTCGAGAACACTATAATAATCCCGTCAAGTACGGTAGACAAGTGTCAATCATTCATTTCTAGTGACCGAATCATTCTAGTACATTTCGTCACGCGTACTGGTACATTCGGATCGATCATTCAAATGGATCACTTCGGGCTCCAGTACTCTGTTGAGTCTGTGATCATTTTTTTTTGGGAACCGAAAATTTACAATTTGAGATTTATAATAGCGCCATCTATTACATGCTATAAGTAAAAAAGTTTATCGAACTAAAACTTATTGACACAAGGATATCACAGGTTCATAGGATATGCGACTCAAACAGTAAAGAGAGAGAATGAAATAAATAGAGTAGTTGATAGTTTTCTATATATTCAACAGTAGCGCATATTTTTGGCCGACAAACGACAAAATAGTTTCAGAGATGTATTTTAAAGAATAACGTCAAATTAAAATTTACTCTCTCAACTTTTAAAGGTAAGAATGTGGTGGAGCGACGAGCCTAAGGTTACCGAAGTCTAATTCCCCGGTCGAACCTTAAACCTATTACGCGAGATATTAATCAAAGTGGACTGTATATGCGAAATGCTTCTACGTTTACATAAAATGGCGACTATAGCACGCGGTTTCCCATACAATGCACTCGCTCTTCCCTAAAACGATTTGCCAAATCTATGAAAGGAATCCTGCTTGATTAGGAGAAAATAAATTGGAGCGGACACAATTATATCAAGCAGTAACTAGTAAGGAATATTCACTCACCGGGGTGTTGCTTCTATGCGGCTTGGGCACTAAGTTGCTGCAACTTCTGGAAGACACTCTGGGTAGACTCTCTGGGGCCCCAGCCTTTCTTGTCCGGTGATACGTCGGGAGAAAGTGCGGTGCGCGACTATTTCTCACACGAGGTGAGGCGGGTTTCCTGGAGTTCGACTGCGTCCAGGCTAAAGCGGATATACTAGCGGTGCGCGTCGACACTATTGTCTTAAGCGGTGTGGTTCCAACGACGAGCGCTGCGCGTCGGCAGCGCGTGCCTTTTATTCCTTCGGTTGCGATGATCGCGTAATATTCAAGAATCATCTTCTTTCCCCTCCCACCCCACCACCCCGATGTGTCGATAGGAGGGTATGAATTATATCGTTTGGAAAGGGATAAACGATTTGGCAAGCCTACCGTCAAATATAAATAAGTACGAATGGTTTTCCGCGCAACCAGAATGTATTGCACATTTTTTCGTATTTTTAAACTAAAACAAATGAATATACCTAATTATAATTTAATTTTACCACTTATTTTTATTTCGAAAACAAATCTAAAAAAACATAAATTTTTGTTGTCCCGTTAAAATACCCGTTAGCCGTTAAAAACAATTTTTTCCCGTTGCCAACCTCGCTGTCCCGTCAAATCTAACGGTAAACCCGTCAAGTTGGCAACACTGCATATTGGAAGGTAGAAACTAGAAAGTAGTCTGTGGACTATCATAGATTATTTGTTTTTCACAGATTAACAATTTTTCACCACAGGTAAATAAATATACCTATAACTATAGATGTTATAGACTTGAATCACAGAGTAAAGAGTAAGGACCAGAAAGGAAGCTTCCTTACCATGAGTTTGCACTGACGAGATTTTCACAAAAAAAATCGTTCATAAACATGGTTCTTCATGAGCTGTTTTATGAACGAAGTTTTGCCGTCAAAGTTTACGAAATAACCAACTATTCGAAGGTATAAAATTCCGTATGTTAAAAGTTGCGAACGATGATTATCACGAATTTTATGTTGCCAAAAATAAATATTCGAAACAAAATATGTCAAAGTTAGATAACGTCTAAATTTTTAAAGTTAGATGGTTTACAAGTATTTATTTTTTTCATTTATTTTTATCAGTAATAACTCAATCCCAAAAATTTTAACTACGAATCAACAAACAGGCGAATGGTCTTTCAGCCGAAAATAAATATACTTGAACTTCAGAAGTACAATTGTCTTCTATTGGTAATTACATTTTCGATGTAAAATTGTAGTTATTTTTATTGTGATAATTAATTAAGATAAGTTTACAAATATTGAAAATGGATTGAAATTTTTTCATTCATTTTCTTATTGATAACTATATTGTTTGAGCTTTAACTTAATTAATAGCTTAAGTACAGTCTTATATATAAGTTAATAGTTATTTTGTGATGGAAATTGTTTTATCGGCTTACGGTATTTCGTATTCCGTTACAATCATTTTTCTGAAATATTGATTTTTATGGATAAACGGTTATTCACCTGTTTGTATTTCGGTATAGTTTTGTAGATGTAGGTATTCAGAAAATGCGATAATATTGAAGGTAGCATACGGAACTATCACAAAAAATTTACGCACCACATCATAAGAAATAAAACTAAATCAGAAGACGAGTTTCATATGTAACATGTGGGATAGCATGAAAGGGTTATTTCCCGGGCTTCATAGCCTCGATAAGATGTATTTTCCTATCATGGTAACTTCAGTATCCCGTGAGCGGTTAGAGGCTAGATCTACAATCACCCAGAAAAGAAACCACTTACTAGGCACCGGGTTTTGTCAAAATTGTTATTTTAAAAATCAATTCGAAAGAAATAAACGTAAAAATAAAAAAAATATTTAATTAATTCTTGTTTTCTGATAACTATTCGATAAATATAATGTGTATAAATAAATATGTAGTGTAAAACTTGCTAAAATAACATGAATATAATGTTTGATTATTATACTTCTTTCTTTCATTTCTGTTCAAAATGATTATTTATTCCATATTTATGTTTTATAAAAACATCGAAAAAATCGATATATCGTACATAAGCTTCGATGTTTTAATGAGTAATGTTGCATCCTATATATGTGCTTAGATGGAAAAATTACGACTCGAGTTAACTTAATTTCAAATTCACACAACTCGAACTAAACTATATACGCAACTAGAGTTAGCAGGACGAAACACAGTAAATATGATTTGTTACAATTACTTTAAAAATATCGATTCAATAATATATATATATATATATATATATATATATATATATATATATATATATATATATACTATATATATATATATATGAATATATATAGGTGGCTGCCATTCGCATAAGTTATCGGAAGCGGAACACTTTGCGCTCGTAGCTTTTAATGAGTGAAAACAGTTTTGGTATAAATGTGGTGGTACCAGATAAAGCAAGGAAAAAGACTGTGTCAATATCTAGACAGAAACGGGCTGCGGAAAAAGCAAGAAGGTAAATGAAACACCATCGCAGTACCTAGATAAGTTTAGTTGTATTGTAACCGACTTTGTAACACAGGGTCGTACTCAGTTTGACAATTGATATTATCGTTTTATTGAGTAATGATTATTTAAAATTTTATAAATAATAAAAATAACGTTTATTTTACCGTAACGACGGAAAGGATTATGCAGTAAAAACGAAAGTTCAAGGTTTAAAAACAGGATGTGAATAATAATTGCTTAACTCATCTAATTAATCATTAATCAGAAATCTGCTTCGTGTGGTTTTTGCACTTACACATACCTATACCTAAATAAAATTTCATTGAAAATGTTAATTTTTCTTCTGCTTTCTATCCTTTGTTGGCCTAAAAAATAACACTATTTTGGTCGAAATGCACTTATACTATTAACACAAGATTTACATACGTTTCTGTGATTTTCAACAAGTTATTGTTTTTAGATGTCAATGGACAGGTTTTCTGATATTAAAAATAATATTTACGAGTATTGTTGTTCCCTACCGCACTTAGTTTATAAATATAGTGCATCGGCCTTAAGGCTGTTCAGACCACATTAGCGCCTCCACTACTGATGGACTAGAAATATATTATTTTTAGTCCATTTTAGGACATCAAACGACTTGTCGGTGCGAGTGTGCGGTTTAAACAGCCTTAAAAGGTGTTTGTTTTAAACTTCTCCATTGTTTTATTGGATTTGAAATATAAGGATCGTCGGCATGTACTTCTAAAAGTTTTAGGGATCTTTATTGGGAACAAACAATATTTATTTATTTAGTGCTAACTTTTGCATGTGTTTGTCATTTATTGTTTTGCCTACGACTGCTTAACAGGGTTTTGTTTTTATTTTTACTGTACAGCAATAACTAAAACTACTTGCGCTTGTCACTGCTCACCTGGCTTATTTTTATAATATTTTTATTTTTGAGCTAACAGTTTGTTTGTCTATCTTTTGTAGGTATTCAACGCCCCGATTACTAAAAATACCTTTGGCCATAATAACAAAACTTTGAAGTGTACTACGCTAACCGCAAATGATAAGTTTCACTTTCATCGCAATTGTTACTCTACATTAAGCAAAATTGACCAAAATAATTTTATTATGAAGCACGTGACAGCCACTCTGATAAAGCGCCGACGTCGGCGGGATAACATTAAGGAAAATCAGAGAATATTTTCTCTGATTTATAAAATGTTTAGTAAAACAGAAGAAATACGTTCAAGTTTGTAAAATGGCGTTCATCAGTATTTTAAGAATTTATAAATCACGCGTAGAGGGTGTTATGAAAAGACACACTGAAACCAGAACGATGACTAAAGAAAATAGAAGCGGGGATCATAAGGCTTTTCAATTTGCGTCACGAAAGGAGGCTATTCAAAATTTTATTAAAAAATTTAAGCCACTAGAAACACATCATTGTAGAGGTAAAATTGAAATACGTATGTATTTGTCTCCAGATCTAAATGTAAAGAAAATGCGGCAAATGTATAATGATGAAGACTTGCCCGGTTACGACGTCACAATTGAATACTTTAGAAAAGTATTTAATACAAGTTTTAATATCGGATTTGGATCTCCTAGACAGGATGTCTGTTCGGATTGTCTTCAATTACTTGAGGGCATTAAATTATCCTGTAACGGTCAAGAAACACAAGGACTACGAGCTCAGTACACACAACTTAGTACAAACTTAGAGTGAAATGTTACTTTGATCATTTAAGAGACGATTCCCCTTTACAGAAATACTCAGATTGATTGTCAAAAAAAGTTACCGTTGCCAAAAAATCCTGATTAATTCGTATGTTATACGCGTCAGTTGTATGTACCTTTATATTTAACAGTAACAGTAGTTATTGGAACATCAAAGGTGACACCTGAAAATGTTCACGCTTATATATGGACTGAGGAACAAGCGACAACAGGCTCGAATAAAATATGTTCATGCGTGTATGCTTGTTTAAATAATTTGAACTTTGACGGAAAAGAAAAAGTAAGGTTAATCGCTGAAGGTTGTGGCGGCTTAAATAAAAATTCAATGTTGATAACTAATGGCCATGAAATGACTGTATAATGCCAGAATTCGTTACCTTAATATAACAGAAATTAAAATAATATTTCCTGTCACAGGGCACTCTTTTATATCACTAATTTACAAGGTTAGAATTGATGTCCCAATTCCAGACTGGAAGACAGAAAGACAAAATAATTTGAAGTCTAACTTTCATTTCCAAATCAGCAAACGCAAGCGTATTATTATCACCCGTTCGAGAGACAAAATACAGATAACTGGAGAAGTATCATACTGGAACAACAGCAAGTGCTTCATTACTAAAGAAAGGTAAAAAATTGTCAATATCATCCCAAGCGTTATTGAAATTGCTCCTTCGATAAAACCTGATAAATTACTAGACGTACAAAAGTTATTACAAAAACATTTTGGACTTCAATGGGAATAGATATCATCATCATCATCATTACAGCCCTTCACAAGTCCACTGCTGAACATAGGCCTCCCCTAAGTAACGCCACAAAGCACGGTCCTGAGCCACCTGCATCCATCGACCGACTTCCTGTCATGTCTTACCAGGTCGTCACTCCATCTAGTGGAGGGTCGCCCTAATACACTAACGGTACAGTAAGGAATCCCCAACGGTTGTCGGTTCTTCGAGCTATATGACCGGCCTATTGCCACTTCAGCTTACTAATCCGTTGGGCTATGTCGGTCACTCTGGTTCTACTGCGGATATCCTCATTTCTAAGTTTGATGGCGCATCACGCAGAGAAACTCCGAGCATCGCCCTCTCCATAGCTCGTTGAGCGTCCACATATGGCCAGCAGTGAAGAACCACGTCTCGGTTCCGTAGGTCATCACTGGCAACACGCACTGGTTGTACAACTTAGTTTTCAGGTTTTAAGGTATACCTGACGAGAAGATGTGTCGTAATTTCCCGAACGCTGCCCAGCCGAGTTGAATCCGTCGATTGACCTCTCGGTCGAAGTTGGACTTACCTAGTCGGACGATTTGTCCCAGGTAAACGTACTCGTCAACAACTTCGAGCTTAGTGGTCCCAACAACTACCGGCATAGATGTGACATGGACATTAAACATGATCTTTGTTTTGTCCATGTTCATCTTAAGACCTATCCGTTGGGAGGCACTTTGTTTAAGTCCTCCAGTGATTCTGCCATAAGGACTATATCGTCGGTAAATCGAAGGTGAGTGATGTACTCGCCATTGATGTTAATACCGTATCCTTTCCAGTCCAGTAGCTAGAAAACGTCTTCCAACGCAGCGGTGAAGAGTTTCGGGGATATAACGTCACCCTGTCTTACACCTCTCTGCAGTTGGATAGGTTTCAAACTCTGGTTCTGTACTCGGATAGCCATCGTAGCCCTACTGTACAAACACTTCAGCACCTCGATATACCGACAGTCAACTTGGCACCGCTGAAGGGACTGTAGCACCGCCCAAATTTCGACGGAATCAAAGGCTTTCTTATAGTCCACATACGCCAGGCATAGTGGCAGATTGTACTCCTCGGTCTTCTGTACAATCTGCCGCAGTGTATGTATGTGGTCTATGGTACTGAAGCCTTTTCGGAAACCGGCTTGTTCGGGAGCCTGGAAGTCGTCGAGTCTGCGTGCGAGACGATTCGTATTGACTCTCGAAAACAGCACGTAGGCGCGGCTCAGAAGGGAACTCGGTCTGTAGTTCTTCAAGAGAGCGTTGTCGCCTTTCTTAAAGAACAAGACCACCGCACTTCTGCTCCACGCCTCCGGAGTAGTGCCACCATGGAGGACGGAATTGAAGAGCTTCTGAAGGACTTCAAGTACCGGTGTTCCACCCGCTTTCAGAAGCTCCGCTGTAATTCCATCCTCGCCTGGGGCCCTGCCGTTTTTAAGGTGCTGGAGAGCCATTCTAATCTCGCTCGGACTGACGTCCGGGATATCATCGGAATAGTGTCGGGTAAGACTTGCTCTTGTATCGTTACTCACACTTGCGTGTGGCTCCAATGATGATGTGTACAGCTGCCCATAGAACCTCTCAATCTCACTCAAAATCTCAGGTGTCCCGGAAACGATGCTGCCACACTCAGTCTTCAGCTTTGACAGTTGGCTCCTTTTGGCAGACAGATCTCTGGCAAAGACTTTGGAACCCTGGTTCCGCTCGATCGCTTCTTTAATACGAGCAGTATTAAAGTTGCGTAAGTCTTGCCGCATGCATTTGGAGATCTGTCTGTTCAGTTGCCTGTATGCTGTCAAATCTGTTGACAAATGCAGCCTCATCTCCCATCTAACAGCCATGAGATTAAGAGTGTGATCGGAGAGTTTTTGTGTTCTGCGGTGGGTCTTGCAGAACTTAGCTCCGACCGCATGGACAGTTTCCACGAGCTTGTCATTCATATCGTCCACTGCATTGCAATCTTCTAGGCACTGAAAGCGGTTACGTAACTCGAGCTGAAAAGTCTCGGGATTCTGGATTAGAGCACGAGGGGGACGGAGCGTTGACTTCATTAGACGAGACCTCTCCAACTTAACGTTTAGGTTCAGTGTGCCTCTAACCATTCGGTGATAGCTGCCAGTTTTCACCCTTGCGATCACTGAGACATCACTGAACAGTTGGCGTCTGGTCGTCATAATGAGGTCAATCTAATTTTTTGTCGTACCGTCGGGGCTCGACCAGGTCCACTTCGTGTGGGGCCGCTTCTGGAATAAAGAGTCCCTCTTTCTCCATAAAGTCAGCCAGCTGCTGGCCCCTACGGTTCCGTTGCCCTACTCCAAATTTCCCTAACTTCAGCTCACCACCTTCTCTTGTGCCTAGTTTTGCGTTGAAGTCTCCCATCAACACCGCGTAGTGGATTTTGGAGGAATGCATGGCTCTAGAAATATCCTCATACATTTCCTCCACCTCCTCATCGGGATGTGCCGAGGTTGGTGCGTAGATCTGTATGACCTTCAGCGAATACCGTTTGGTTATTCTGAGTATCAGGTACACGACCCTCGTCGACACACTCCCAATCTTTACAACGTTGTTGACGAGAGACTTGTGGACAATAAATCCGACACCTCCTTGGGACAGATGGTCGCCCTCCCGATGATAGAACAAGTTGCCGGACTCGAGGATTACCGTGTCCTCCCCCTCTCTTCGGACCTCAGATAATCCAAAATAATATGCCAGCGCAACTTGTCTACCTCTTCTTCCAGCTCCAGTATCTTCTCGTCAGTCCTCAGGGTGCGTGCGTTATACGTTGCCAGGTCGAGTCGTCGTAGGTGGCAACCGAACCTCCACCGGAGATTCTTAGCACCCCCTGCCCCGCCGTTACCATGGTCGCCACCGTAGCCAGGAATAGCGGGGCCGCCGGGGACTGGGGGCCGTTTATTTGTGTCGTTGCTCATGGGGGCATACTATACAACTATTTGCCATAGTTGCCACACTTGGCGAGCGGGTTGGCAACCGCAGTTTTTTATTATGTTATTGTTGTTATTAGGAAGATGCTGCTGCCCATCTCCTTTCTGTGTCCCTGTGTCGCCTATTACGACACCCACGGGAAGATATGGGGTAGTGGATGTTCTCAACCGCCACTACACGGCTGGGAACAGATACCCGAACTTCAATTTTATAAAGATATTTTATAAATAAATGTTAACCTAACTGAAGAGAGAGAAGAGAAAATAATAAATAATTCGCAAGATTGTGAATTGGAAGAATTTTTAGATTTTGTTTAAATAAATAATACATTTTGATTCACTTAAAACCACTGTTTCATTTATAAAATTAATTATACTGATGTATTTCTTAAAATACCACAAGTCAGCTGCTCTGAATAGGTTCTATTACAATTATCATTGACATCTCAATCAAACTTAGATAACTCCAGTACGATTTTTTTCAAACACCGATATAATTAGCTCATACACCTCATTGCGGTATATCCAAACTTTAACTCGCTTTTTAGCTTATCCTATAATTAATTTTTTTAATTACATTATATACAAAATCCTAAGAAAATAGTCTGATTGTAGAAAACAACAGATATTATCTAGTAGATCTTTCACCAAAACACATATAACATCAATTTCCCCCGTTTCACTTAGAGCGGACGTAACGGATTTTGATATTTAACGACACTATTTTACAAAGTTTTTGTATGTGCGAACGCGAACATCTACAAAACATGTTGTGTGATTTATTTCATGTAATTTGTATCAAAACATTACTTGTTGGATATTTTTCGGTGCAAACGTAGGGTGACAACGTCGAAAATGTATACATATTCTGATAGGGTTGTCACATGATGCATGTGAAAATTTTAAGGAAAAAATAAAAATATTATAAAGTATAAAATAACATGTGTATCTGTAACTTATAACAGGTGTGTAACTTATACATAATAATTTAATAACATATCTATTAATTGTTCGAAGTCCATAGCTGTTTCGTATCGATTAATTTTAAGCAATAGCGATGTATCATCAGCAAACAAAAAGGTTATTTTTATTAAAATAAATGTAATTATTTACTAATTGCAAAAAAACTTAGTAAATTAATTGATACATAAAATTTCGAAATATTGTTGGTCTATTTATTTAAATGCGCACGACTAACATATTCATTTCATGCATACTCTGGCTGAACCGGCGTTAACCGGTATGTACTCCGACGGAGCGTCGGTGAACCTGTCGGTGAGAGCTCACGCA